TAGCTTACAGCAGTGAGAGCTCAAATGGCAGGTTTCTGAGTCTTAATGGAGCAGAGAGCCCTATAGAGCCCTATACAGATTWTGTTTCTGTTTTCTGTCACTAAAACCTGTGTCTGCAAAGCACAGCAGTTGACTGCTCAAGTGTGGAGATTTCTCCAGTTCTGATGAGGAACTTATGGATCAGATGGACTGTATGTACTTTGTTCCAGAGCAGGTGATTTCCTAGCAAAACCCATCACACTCGGTATGATTTATTTTGTCATAAATTTCTGTAACATCTTCTTTAACAACTTATAAGAGGGATCACATTTCAAAAATCTGTGTTATTTAACTACTTGTTTCATGCTCTCATCTTTTCACACTCTTAGTTTTAATCTCCATCTGCAAAGTCCAGTTCCCTGATAGGTTTTTTTCCTTTGAGTTTGAAGTGTACTGTTATTGATCTTGGTTTTTTTTTTTTTTCTTTATTAATCTTGCAACCAAAGAACTGGATTTACTCAGCTGCACACCCCCCCTCCCTGGGTCTCTTCTTTGCTGGAGTTAAATTCAGCTGTACAGGTGCAATGCTTGCTTCAAGCCACAAGTATTATTCATTATTTGCTAACAAATTGTAGGGTTTTTTTAGCCTTTCTAACAGTTATCTTTCTGTCCTGGTGTGTGAACCACTGTGTATTCTGTCCGTAAATTTGCACATTGAGTGTTCCTAGTGTCGCAATAAATGGTATATTCCCAAACTGAGAGTATAGACATTAAATGTTAGTAGATCATCGTCAGTGGGAAAAGATCCCTACTGGTGCAGCTCCACCAGTTTGTAGGACACTGTCAGAGAATGAGATTCCCCCTTTCTTCAGCGCTGATCAATGTGAGCTTCACAGTCATTCAAAAGGATTTTAAAATACTGATTCAACAGGAACAAGATCCTAAGGAATCAGTCATTCTGTTCCGGTCTGGAAGTTCTGTGTTTCTGTAATGCGCCTTCAAAAGGTGGGGTTTCACCTGGGGAGGAAGGAAGTAAAGAAGGGAAGGTATACCGTGGTAGCACAGCCCAGAAAAACAGGCTCTAAGTTTGTGCATTGGAACAATATTTTAAGATTAAAATACCGTACTGTGTTTACAGGCAGACTTGAAGTCAGTGGTGCCAAGTGGAAAGAGCACACACTATAGTCCAGATATCCCCATCCAAATACTATATGCTCTCTGGTATGTCTTGTGTGGCTAGAATATAATAGTTCTGTTGTGAAGTGTTGTACCTGCTGTTATACCCATTTGTGTAGTTCAACAGGAGTCAGCTCTCTAGAGGAAAATATACAAATTTACAAGTTTAATGAAAAGACTGCTGCTCTGTGCTTTGCTGTCTAGGTACCTCCTCCTTATCAGTGGCATTCCCTGTGACTAKTAGAAAATATGGAGGCTGGACTAGGGGTGAAGTGTGACATGTCAAACTTGTGGAAAAAAACAAGCTCTATTCTTTGCTCAGATGAAAAGCTCTAATAAAGCAGCTGGGGTTAACAAGCATTGTGGACAGGTACCAATAGTATGCGTGAGGGAGAGATGTAATTGAGAACAGAACCTTATTATATAGCAGTYCCCTGATCTGAGTTCTAATGTGTCTTTTTAACTTCTTGAAAAAGGAACTGTCTGCAACTATGAAAATTAAACAGCTACAAATTTAGCACATAGATGTGAGAAAGTTACAGGGATTTTTTTTGGCTTAATATCTGCTTATAGATTAAATACCGTGCTGCAAATGGTCTTATGCAATAGTCTGAAAAAAAAAAAGTAATAGGGAAACAGGGAATGGAACGGATTGTCTAAAAGTAGCACATATGATAAAGTGATTTAATATTAGAGATATACTCTCTGAATACTCAGGGAGGCCTCAACCTTGCCTTAACATATGGATGCACAAGTTGTGCATACACAAGTTGGGTATATAATTCTTTTGGGGGTTCCTGTGTTTTCAGTTTTTCTTTCTGAAGAGCAGATGTTGAGGAATGCTTCCTCCCTCTTGCCAGATCATCTTGCTGCTCTGCTCATTGAAGTTGAAATTTATTTCAGTGAGTTTTGGTCCCTGAAATAGCTACGTCCAAGATTTTTAAAACTGGACCTCAAAACAGAGCATTTCCTTTTCCTAAGAGCAAGGAGAAAACTTCAGAGAATTCTGGAGCTGATTAAATGGATTTAGACATCTGGTGTTCATAATCTCCCACTTCAAAACAGCTCTGTCTTCTTTCGCTGTGCAAGAAGTATCAGAGCTGCGTAGGACTCATGTCTTGTTTGTCTGGGGGAGAAGTCTGTATCAGAAAAGAAAGGACGCTTCCATGTGTGCAAGTGATGAGGCCAATTTATGCCCCCTCAGTCCTTTTCATTTCCTTCACAGAACTTAACCCATCTGTTGCTTTTAGTAATTAAAGCTTGTTGCTAGTACACAACGCACTTCCCTTAGATGTTACACTATAAATCTAATCCACATCTTCTATTCAGAGCTCCTCTTCGGTTACTCCCACATATCATGTTCCCTTTGCTCTCTGGTGTACTTTGCAAAGGCCAAGGGTTTGTGTAGTATTAYGCCATGCAGTTCAAAAGCTCTCGGTTTCATGCRGCAAAGACTACTGGTGAATGAAGCAAATGGAACTTGAAATGGATTAATATCTGCTTGTGCAGCAGGTTCATAGCTACAGTATTAGAAAGTCCCTCCCTGTCCTTATTTCTTGCTTCCCTGTGAGTGGGCTGCGTACTGTTAGGACCTGTTATRTTCTGCAACCTGTGGATCTTCAACTTCCCAGCTGTGCACTAGGTACGGCCCAGCAGGACAGGCTTCWAGTCCATGGCTTGCTCACGGATCCCATCTGGCCAGAGGCACGTTGCCAGAGGTGATGAGCCCTTCCAGGAACGGGGCACGTGCTGCACTCCAGCGTGTTCTAGTTTGCAYGCGGGCAACTTGCCAGTCTAATGTGCATCAGCGTTCGTCTTCATTTAAAGAGCAGTGAAAGGATGTGTGTAACTGCACAGTTATTTTCATTCTGGATRTGTAAGACTTCTTATGATAACGAGTATTGGGTAAATTTTGCTAGCACTTCACTGAGCAGAGTGTCATGTGTCATGTGCCTAATTCCCATAATACCAGTTAGGACTTGTCCTTTTGGGAGCAATATGGAATTTGTGGTAAGCTCTGTTCTGTAAACCAAGAGTGTTTAAAGATCTCTCTTTAGAGCAGCTTGTGCTGATGTAAACCTCAGGAGACCTTGCAGTGTTTCTGCCCATCACTGCTTAAACCCCATGGCTGTTAGGTGACGTTCTTCAGCTTTCTGGAAATGTCTCTGCCAGTTCCATGCATTCAAAGCACATTCATTTGAATTGTTTGTATGTTTACATACCTAACTTAACTTGCTGCTTTGATTTATTGTGCCCTCAGTGAGTTTTGCATTTCAAAGCAAATAAAGGTCTCTTTCCTGTTAGAGTATCCAGTATATTGTTGAGGGCTATGATATCAAGATTAAGATTGTATGTCCTGCACCTTTCGATCTTTCTGATGATTGCTTAGTGTTATRCATTGGAGTCTACAAGCCTCTGATTATGTGAGGCTTGTATACAGCAAAAAGAGCTAAGAATTTTTGTGATGGAGTTTTGGAAAAGTGGGAAAAAATGGGTGTGTGGACGGAAATCAGATTTAGAAGGAAGGAGGGGAGAAATGTCCGTCATCTTTGAGTCAAGCATAATTTCTGAACTAGTCATTAGAAGATATAAAGATCCCTTGCTAATTCTTATGTCTACAGTGAACAAAATTCCATATTTTTATAAAGCGCTATGAATACATTATTCAAGCTGCGAATTTGGCTTTGTTCTAACTTTCCCATAAAAGGAGGCTAAGGAATTAACTAAGAGTCCTCATCTTCTTTCCAAATATAAATTGTGTGCAATTTACAAACTGCAATTACACAAAATATGTGCTTTTATTATGAGAGAGATTCTTCTTCTGTTTTAACACTTAGGGAACATGACCCTTATTACAGGGAATGACTGCAAGTAATGCAGGCCATATTTTTGGGAATATAGAGAATTGACTCATTTATGATTAGATGTTATTAATAGTGTGGTTTAAACATAAGCACATTAATAGGTATTTCATATAGTAAAAAACTYGATGCTGTTTCATGCTCTAAAATCAAAGGACTGAGTGCCCATTGCTGTGAATTCTCATTAATTCCACTGACGTGAATCAAACCAWCTTAGGATCTGCCAAATGTTTGCTTTCTCTTAGTCTCTCCTTTCTTAGCTTAGAGTTGAAGAAAATGTTTTTGTTCACAGAAAATGTTTTGYTCACACTTCCCCCGGTTTTATCGGATTCAAGCATAAGCCTGAGTTTGATCTTTAATTGCACAATGGTTCACTTTGTTTTCTCTTCCCCATTTCTATGTGCAAATATAATTTCTGGACTTTCAACATTGTCTGTATCTGTGTTTAGGTGATTGATCTGTCTCTTTGTTCGTCTGTCTTTTCTCCTCTTGCACCATTTAATGTCAATCCATTTCCACCATTTATTCCCATCATACGCTGATCTGTAAATTTGAGCATAATGTTGTTAACGTTTGTTGTCATTCTCCCTAACATTTCCCGTGGTCTCCTTTTCTCCTCCCCTGGAGAGGATGGCTGCACTTGAACCACTTATTACTTCATTGGAAATGTCAACAGGACAATAGAAAATGTTTTTTATTTGTTTTTCTCTGAGGAATTTGAGATCTAGACAGCGTGCAAATATAGTAAAGGAGGTTACAGAAAGTGTGACCAGATGGAGAAGTTCAGTGCGTAGCTACCCCTACCATGAGTTTTGATGGCTTTTAAAAATATTTTTAGGGAAATGCTTTGTTATGTAGTTCCTTATTCCCAAGTTTACACTTAGTAATATACATTTACAACCTACGGTGTTGAAACATAYTCAAATTAAAGAATGAAAAAGGTCYTGTCAATTTAATCCTCRTTTTTCACTTTCTGTTCTCCAGGATCTCAATATCATATTCAGCCGAGCTGTCAGAACAGAGGTGTTCCATACTCCCTTGCTCCATACTCCCTTGCCTCTTCACACATCTGCAATGCCTATAAATCTTTTCAGCTCCATCACGTTTGTGATACTGCCAACATCCAGCACTCTTGATCAGCCCACTGTGAAATTTCCTACTGCTGCCTTCATTTCCTCTTGCTTGGAGTGCTGCAATTCACAGCTTCTGAGCAGTTAACTACTGTAATACTCATAAGAGCAGTGTGTCTGCAGAACAGTATTATAACCTGCAGTGTTCTGGATTGTGACTGCAATATGCTTTAATTTCTAAAACATGTGGCAGCTTGTTCTCTTCAACTGCATCTGAAAATATGAATTTGTCAGTATGTTTTAACTACGTTTCTTCTAAATCAGCTTGCATCAATAACAGTAGCTTCCCCAGGCCTCAGGTTAGGTGCCAATCAACCTCAGCTGTGTTTTCTACAGTAAATTTCCTCTTTAGATCAATGATTCCATTGGCAAAAATTTAGATTGTTAACGTACTTAAAAAAAAAAAAAAGACTAGTAATAATAAATGTAAATAATAAGGTTAATAATTAAAATAAGGTAAAAATATTAAAGTTTCTGACAAGGAGAAATTTTTATAAATGCAGAAATTTGATGCCATTTAATTTTTTAAATTACATTTTAATTAATTAGACCTGTTAGTCTATTTAATTAGACTGTTTTAATTAATGGTATAAAGCCTCTGGTTTTACAGTCCTAATTGACCCATAGTCAAATGCAAGCATAAATGTTAGCATTTACATATTGAACTACTTGCAGGCATAGCTGGATAGAAACTTTTCAATATTGTCACTCACACCAGCTTTTAGGCACAAAAAATAATTACAATTTTTTTTCAAAGGGTAAGTGAATTCTCTGCAATAGTAAGGCAGTAAAGTATTGACTAGACTTCTGTTTTGATTTATATTTTGTAGTGGAAATAACAAAGTACAAGACTGGTGAAATACAYGTACTGTAGACTTATTTACATACAACTGCAGAGTGCTTTTAGGGCMAGATTTTCGTTTTATTGAAGTCAAGTGCGAGCTTTGCCTTTTAACTTGACTAGGGCGAAAGATTGGCCTTYGGTCAGGAATTGTGTTGTGTTGCATCTCCCACTGCAGCTCTGAGAATCTTGCCTTAAATCCAGCGAGCTCCTCTTCTGGTTCAGTTTGTGGTGGTGGTTTCTCAGTCCCCTGCCCTGTACCTTGCCATGGGGCTTGGCTTTGTCTTACCAGTAGCCTTCTCTTAGGCACTGGAGGGCAGCTATTAAATCCCCTGCAGACATTCTCTTCTACAGGCAAAAGATGCCTCAGCTTCTTCTCTCAGGGCATACATTTATTTGACAGGCTAAACCTATGGCCATAGTAAATATTTATTAAAATTTATTAAAATCTCTCAAGCATTTGTTGATTTCTGTCTCTTTCTCTGTGTCTCCCCCCAAAAAAAAATCTTGGAAAAAATTTTTCAAAYATATTTTGTCTCAAAATTTAAAACCCTTGGTGATTTTAAATAATTTTTTTTTTTTAAATCTATGCTTCCTAGCTGCCAAATACATTYCCAGCAAATTAAGAGCACTGATCCCTACTGTTTGTCTAATGTTTTATGAGTTGTCTGAAACTCAGCCGAGAGAAGATGATACAGCAGGTTCAAAATTACTCCAGGTGTTCATAGGCTTCTGAAAACATCCTATTTACATCCCACTTACTGATCTGGTGTCATTTGGTGGTAACCCAAGAATATGTGCAGCTGGAAAGAAGAGGAAGAATTTCCTATGTTTTTTCTTGGARATAGCCATCTGGTGCCATAAATTGTCCTGTGCTCATTGCTCACCCATTGCTCAGCTCTAGTTCCTAACAAACCTTMTTTATTTTTCTTGCCACTCATTTCCCTTGCCAGTTTAGGACATTTACTTCTCTTTGGTACCATGTGGTTGCATCCCTCTCAAGGAAGTATTTCTTTAAAGTAGTTATTTATGACATATGTTTTGGATTTACAGCAGAATCCACAATGCTTTTAAGATAGAATTAATATAGCTGAAAGTAAAAGATGCAATATTTGTTATTCAGCATTTATAGCCATATGCAAGGCTATAATGACATGGGAATTTAATCTCTCTTAGTAACTTATTGCAGTCCAAACATACTTTMATTTTTATTGCACATGCATGTATGACAGTCAAGTTTTAGTTTTATTGGTAGAGTTCAAGCTTCTGAGACAGATGGATTGAATCCCTTAATTTCTAGGCAGGCTTATAGGAACAGTGCTCTATAAAAATTAAATAGTAAACTAACTCAAGGAAAACTTTTAGAAATGCATTAGATAAGAAAGTCCTGACTCATTTTTTCTGATCCACAGGGGTCATAGGTTTTTGTAAGACCTAGACCTATGTCTACTGGTAAAATAACACGTTTTAACATAAAAGCAAAATAGTTTGACGTGTGGCCTACTAGTGTGACTTAATGTGTATGGATTCTGTAGGTATGGGAAGTTCATTTGATTGCAATAATTATTGTCAGTTAAGTCATATTGTAGACAAGATTTAATCTATGCTTGCTACAATGATTACACCATCAGCATCTAAGTCATTATTTTATAAGCAGCACACAGACAGGTTGGAAATAGAATATGTTTGTATTGTGTGTGCACATTTGTTTATRTAACAGAATAGTTATCTTTATTAAAGCAAAATATTCCTTATCTGTAAATGATTAACCAACAGTTTATCTGTTTTATATTTTCATCTTATTATTTCCCTACAGGTYAAAGCAACAGATGCAGATGCAGACCAGTTTGGTGAAATTGAGTATTTTCTTTATGATGGGTTCAATTACTATGAAAAATCTAAAGCTTTCCAGATTGACCCACATACTGGTCAAATCTGTGTGTCTCAAGACATTGATAGAGAGGAAGATCCAGCTACTTATGATCTCCTAGTAAAAGCTACAGATGGGGTAAGTTGCATCCTTTCTAACTGCCAGACTTGTAAAATGCATTTTCAAATTTGGATGTGCTAAATACTTTTAAATGAGAATGGAATATATGAAATTTGCATGATTTTGAATTAATTTATTACTGCTAYAGGGAGTAGAATGTGATATTTAAAAATATAAAATAAACATAAAAATAAAGATAAAATAAAACAAAATCCAACAGGAGTCATTTTGACTGAATTGGTATACTTCACTGTGAAAGCCACAACCCTTTCTATGTAAGTTGTTCAAAATTCTTTCTGGGAACTGTTATTCCTTGCTRTATTTCTTCCCCTGTTGGAACTACTGGACTCCATTTTAATTCTGCTTCTTGGTTTAAAGATAGTTGCACCACTAGTTGGTTAATAATTTGTGTCAGAAATACATGGGTAAAGTGTGTGCCAAAAAGTATTTTCAGAGGGAACAGACACAACACAACAAATGTTCTTTTGTATTAATAGTATCTTTAGTACTCTGCCTATTTATACACTGTTGTAAAAATATCTTTTTTTGTTTTTTTTTTGTCTGTTTGTTTGTTAACATACAACTATGTCTTATGTCAATGTGTGGTAATTTCAGAATTTAAATCCTTTTTATTAGGACAGTATCACCAATCTTTCTGGCAGACATATATGTCTGTGCTCTTAAAGAAAGATTATGTTAGAGCTGAACTGTAAGTACTCTAAGTTGTACAGGTTTTTTCTCATGTCCTTTTACTCTTCTGGACAGAGTATTTTGAAAATGTAAAAGCAAATAGGTTTACTTGAATAAGATATTTGCATATTCTGGTTCATTGCCATTGTGATAACTTCTATSTTGGGACCTGTAAGAAAACTGCCAAAGCACAAAAAGGATAGATTGTTTCATTTTAAAAATGATTAAATTGATTTATCTTCATTTGGACAACTTATGCTGTCAAAAATTCAAGAATGAGAAAGAGGGATTTTTGATTTTCTCGTCTTTGGCAAGTAGGGCTTGGATTTTTATTACTGGAACTCAGCAGTTTGTAGCCAACATTGATTTGGCTTCTGCCAGTTAGGTCATCTGACAGCTGGATATTAAAGCACCTCGTATCAATATTCACTTCAAAATTTCAAGTATACCTGAAGTGATGTTTAGCTATATATCACCTTTACAGCTGAATTATGGCAGGATATTTCTTATCTTCTGGCATTSTGTGTGTGATTTTAATTGATTAAAAGCATGCTAGGTATGGAGTTCAAGTAGAGACTGTGATCAAAAGTAGGGAGAAATATGTTTAGAAAAGACAGAGGGAGAATGAGGGTCATTGTTTTTTAAAGGAGAGGGAGAGAGATGAAAAGGAAAGAAAATAAGAAAGTTAATTAGAAATGAGGAGGAAAAGAAGTATTTTCCATGTGGTGCTCAGTTTATCTTACAGCAAAACAGATGGAAGTAATTGATAGTTTATCTAATCCATTGCATGGTTTTAGAGCTTGACTGCCTTCTTTTAAATTCACTATGTAGAAACAGTAATGGGAGAGCTGGAAATGCCTGCAAATGACCATGGAAGGGCAAGTGTAAAATTGATTTTGTTAAACGGACGCTTGTAAAATCTAAAGTTCTTGGGAGGGCTTGTAGAGGGGAAGGCTCACTGTTTTAAATGGGAACAAGATTGTTAATAATGTTGGCATGAGCTTTTTTTTAGTTGGCAGCACTTAATTTGATCCCAAAGTCACTTATTGTCTCAAATGTATTTGAAATGCTTCTGTATGAGAAGAAATCTTGTAAGTAGTGTTCTAGAAAAGCACTTGCACTGAATCACAGAGCATCTGCTTGTTGCCCTCCTTTGAGGTCTCTGTCAYGTGTTGTGTTCTGTGTGTGGTCTAGTAGATGCCTCACATGCTGCCTCTTGCTTATGACTATCCCCTGTTCAAATAGTGCCTTTAAGTCACAGGTACGTGCCATTGTATTACATATTTGCAGCAGCCCAGAGAGAKCTTCTGCAGGCTTTCAGGGGGTTGGAATTGCTAGTAAGCAAAAAGCTGATTTTCTTATAATGATAGTGAAATTGTAACTTTACTCTTGAAGAAAAACAGATGAAGATATTTTTTGCTTGGAAAAAAGTCACAAATTTTTRTGAGAGATTTAGATCAAAAATACTGTGAAATCAAATCTTGCGAAAAGAAAATATGCAACAACAAATTCTAACCAAATTCTTAACGTGTTWTCAAAAGAGATGTAGAGGACAAAATTAGTGGTACACTTTTTTTTTTAAACATTTGTATATTAGGTCCAATGTGTGTGGTGGTGATAGTGGTATTGTTGTCACCTTTTGTAATACAACTGAAGTGCACTAAGACCCTTCACATTTTCCGTATTTGATTGGTGGTCTCCAAGCTGTTAAATGTGTAACTCATACTTGTTTTATATGCAGTATAAAAATATGCAGTGGGCATATTTTTTCTGACATACTAAAATCTTTTTGGTATAGTACATAATTTGGCATAGTACGTANTTCTGTAAAGCTTCTAAGGAACTTTTTGAAATACTTGTTGATGTCTCTTCCTCTCCATCATGACAACATTGTGACTTATCCAGTTGGCATAGCATCTTTTAGGTTTTACAAAGAAAAGAAAATGTCTTTTTATCAGAGATTGTATATATCACAGTTCAAATAAGAAGAAAAATTTGACAGCACAATTTACTGATGAAAAAGTTGGAATCCTCAGTGGAAGTCTTGACAGATTCTTATGCATTTTATAATGTGTCAACAAGAAGAAATACAGTTATTCAAAATAGCACCATTCTTACTTATTAATATAACTTATCCTGTCCTGATAGCTTTATATTTTCTCACAAACTAAATGCTGCCAAAGAAAAGAAAATCACTACTTGTGGTTATCTTGAATAGGTAATAGTTTATTCTATCCATTTTTGTGCCGCAAATCATATTGTATCAAATCTTATCACATCAAATCTTTAAGATTTTGACCCAAAAAAACCCCAAAATTGTAATTGTAACCTCTTGTTGCATCAACAAACACAATAGCAGTTYGAGTATTTGAAACATGATTTCAATACAAGCAATTCCAGTTTGTTGTTGCTTGTAATGTGTTTTGACAAATGTAGTTTTCTTTCTGCAGCACATTGTATAATTTGGTCTTTATATATTGGAAAATCTACTGTGTTGCACTTGTTTCTGAACAGATGAACTGTATCCATGTGATTAGAGAGACAGTCAGTTCCCTCTCATTTCAGATATTTCTTGAAAATTATTGTAGCCAGAACAAGTTTAAAAGAAAGCAAAAAGGTTAATTCGATAACCATTGTACTGGACCATAAACAAGTTTATGTCTCTTGACTTCTGTGTAATGAGGATACATTTCTTCAGGAAAAGAAAGATCTGTCTCCATCATAAAACTTGGTCTGTCTTCTGAAAGATCAAATAGTAAGTCTACAATTGCTCAGAATTCCCAGAGACTTTAKTCTTTATCTAGTTCCAAAGAATAAATATGAATTGCCTGGGGAGTGGAGTGTTTTTCATGTCTGTTTAGCAATAGTGACACTTGGAAGAAGCAATTTAACACARATTTCCATGAGTTTTGTTGGTTTTGATGGTTTTTTTTTCTGTTTTTAACCTCACTTCTTCCTYGGAACACTTCCCTTAAATGCTGTTTCTGGTTCCTGTTCTAAAGTACTTGAAAGCTGTGGAGTCACTGTGCTGAAGAATATCTGCTAGTGGGCTTGGAAACACAGGATCCYTCTTTCATTCCCTGTGCAGAGATTTCCTTTGTGAGAAAATTCAGACTTGAAGTCAAAGTTCATCCTGAAGGGGATTGGGATCGTAGCAGTGAGCTCATCAGATCTGCTTGTCACCCCATCTTCTAAGCAGCAAAACTATGTCACGCTATGTCAGCATGTTGAGGATGGTGCTGGCATGGTGCACCTTGCACTCCTGACCTGGCTGGTCTCATGTCAGCATGAGACCTAGATCTGAAATCACGCAATCTCACTCATTTCCTTTCTTCCTTTGAGAGAAAACCCAATTATAGTGAGAGGAAGTGGGCTGCATTTGTTAGTTTTCATGTGAAATATAGAAGCATACTGTATGATACAATCTTATTTTTTCTCAAACTTTATGGTGCACAAATAACTTTGGAAATAYGAACCACTCCAGACTGATGGAGAGTCAACAAGGAGTATGAGACAGTGACTCTGAAGTGAATAGCCATTTATTTTATTGAGGACCCTGAGCTGTCTATTCTTCAACAGCCATGACATTATCTTTTTTTCCTAAGTTCTTTTAAAATTCAATGTTTTGTGATGGTCAGCAACGATTTTGCTAAACCAGCTTGCAAGCTTGCAACCAACAGCTTGCAAGTTGCTGCTTGTGTTTCTGGTTTCCGTGCAAAGCCAAGGTTAAGTGGGAATCCATGCCTGCCCACACAGTGCTACAGTGGAGARGTAGTCTTGGGTGGGCAGCAGAAGCTTCAACTGAGTGGAGAACAGCAAAATGGTTTGGGCTGGAGGCTGTGAAGAGGTAAGTTACACACAAGCTGCACACAAGATCTGGCTCTCTTCCCAACTGTTTGTGAAGGGGAATAAAAACAAGAGCCAAGAAGTTGAGCCAAGCTCTCTGGGAAGCATGGCAAGATCTCTTTCTCCTCAAAGTTACAAGTTAGCTTGTGAATAAAATTACATTATCTTTATAAATTTTACATCAATAAATCTATTCAACTAGACATTTTTGTTGGCTTTTCTAGCATTCTGCTTCTACATATGTATATGCTGCGTGAGCAGAGTTGCTAGCCATCCTGCATTGATCTGTTCTTAGCCTTTCTAACCAATATTTGAAATGCTCTGATATTCACTGTTATCATGGTGATGCTCTTAAGTGAGAATTTTTTTCATAGGTGAAATGCTTACTGGAGCATTTTCCATAATCRCTGCTCTCATAAGTAAATAATAAAATAGCACAATTCCTGATTCAGTTAGTAGACATTCTCTTTTTGTTCAGGTAATAAACCAAGCATTGATTTATAACAATAAATGTCATTATATAWATATAGATGTATAAAAGAGAAACTGATAAGGAATTAACATGGATAATACTTATTAGTATTAACAAGAATTTTATGTTCAAGGCTGAGAGTCGTAACAAATTGAATGCTGTGTATCCTGTTAGGTAGCATTCTGGTGATGTTCTGWGAATGTGTTTTGCCTGAACTCATTTTGGGGGATTTTGTAGATACTTCAAGTTATTTTTAGTAAATAATACTTTCGTTGCTCATCTTTACTGTTGCAGCATGTTCCTTATTCTATGGATGGGCTCAAGACAGACTTGTGTCATTCTACTGTGTACGTCTTAAAAACTGATGATGTTTTCTTTCTTTTTTCTGTTTTATCCGACAGGGTGGACTGAGTGCCCAAGCTTTTGTTCGTATTGAGATAGAAGATATTAATGATAATCAACCTGTTTTTGAACAAGTTACCTATGTGACAAGCATCAGCAGTCGCACACAGCCAGGAACAGAGATCATCAATGTTGTTGCAACAGACAGAGACTCTGGAATATTTGGAACAGTCACTTATGAACTTATCCTGGGGGAATTTTCTTCTCTTTTCACAGTGGATTCTTTTACAGGTACTGTGAGAGTGTGATTTATCAAAGCCATAACGGCAACGGTTTTTTTTTCCTTGAAGATGGTTTCTTTATTTGGGGCTATGTCATACAATTGAAAGCTTGATTCTGCTGGTTAGTTTCATAATATCCAACTGCCTCCCTGTTTGACCTTCTCAATTTTGGTTCTTGGAAAGAGGTTCAATGAAGGGGTGACAATGAAGATAGGAAAGGAGTTTTGCTAAAAGCAAATCAGGTGGTTGTTGTTGTTGTTTTCATTWTTTTCTAAGACAGTTGGATTTAGTCATCATTTTTCACATGTCTACACCCCAGTCCAGTATAGTTTTTTTCTGATCTTAAATAGTTACCTATCATTCTATCTAATAAATCTTATTATCTAGTAATTATTTATCACTGTGACACCAATTAAACATGAGTGATGTATTCACAAATGTGCATAGTATGTTTAAGGGAGTGTTGAAAGCRAGCCCTTTCATACTACTATGAATACATCCTCATCAACAGTATTGCTTCCTGATCATCTCTTATTTCAGATAAATTAGTTTTGAAACAGGCAGCTGTTTCATATATTTTAAAAATATTTAGGGCTGTTGTATGTGTATGCTTATATTAGCTCTTTGGCATCTGAATCATTATAAGGCTCTGTTCTCTCAAAATGGTGCCTATTTTAAACCTTTTAAACAGTCCCAAAAATACCCTTATGAAGAGAGGAAACTAATCTTAGTAAGTTGGCCTGCTTGTCTTGTCTGTTTTATAATTTTARCTTTAACTGTGGGCTTCAATTGCCTGTCAACTCAAATTCTCTAGGGTCTGACTGAGGCCACAAATATATAGGTCAGTCAATAATTAGGGAGCTAAATCTCCACAAACATTTAAGCAATCATTTTTAAAGCTGCACCAGGAGGCCTGTCAGAGAAAGTCCTTGTAGGTTATGCTTTAAGATTTGACTTTGGTTTGAATTCCTATGTTTTACTACTTGTTAAAATGGTAATAAACTTTTCCAGTTTGTCGTTTGTTCAAGCTGTTTCCATGCTCTCTGTCATATGTCCTCATTTAGATTTGCTTCTCTGATGGTTGTATGAGGGATTTATGCAGTTGTTAGGTGGACTGCACTTTGTGAACAGGAGATGGACAAATATGACTAGAAAAAGAAACTCTTCAGACAGAAGGAGATAGGCAAAATTCTTCAGGAGATGTTTCGTCAGTGCAATCAAACTGTATTTTTCTCAGTGGTGTTTTGCTCCTTCCTGTGGAGATGCAATCTGTGACTGATGGATTATGCAGTTTTTCCAATATATACTGAGGCAAATCCTATTTCATTTACTGTGTTCACTACTGAAGGACCTAAAAGGAGGGATAGTGATGGTGTTGGACTGTTCTGTGAAAATGCTTTCCTAATAGATTTTAGCTCTTAAATGGGTATTTTTTCTCATTGACAAGGTATACAGAAATGAGGAAGATAATCAGTACATTGGTCTATTTGACTTTATTATAGCCCTTAGGATTATATGTATAAATAACCAGAGAAATATTTCCAATACTATGAGATGTAAATTAATTACTAGTTAATGGTTTTCCACATTATAGTAAAACTATGAACCTTTAAGATCTTCATTCAAGATGAAGCTGYTCTCCGTGACATGTATAATTTCTATCTTACACAGTGAAGAGCAGGAATTTGAAAATTGATCTCACTGTAATTTTCTTCAGGGTTGTTTTTGTAATGTTGATGAACATTACAAAAGAACTTTTTTTCTCTCATTTYTCTTTCATATTTATTTTTGAAGGAAAAATGAATGGAATTAAATAAAAGCTATAGCTTGAATTTCTCACTACTATAGCTTACTTCTGGCAGTTGCTTTTTTAAAGCAAGCGTGTGACAGTATGAAGAAAACGATTGGTTTTGCATAGGAACTGTTGTTCATAATGTAGGGTATACATGGCCTGGAGATCATACAAGATAGTCGACAAGTGACAGTGTAGCATATGTTAATGAAGCTTTGGAAATGTAAAGATCATGAGGCTGAGCCACATCCAAGCTCCTTCAGCTTTTGTTTCAGAAACTGTGCCATGGTAGATGTCATGTACAGATAACTTTAATGGAAGTGGGAAGGAGGAAGTGTTCACAGAGCAGATAGATACTCCATTATAAAGGCAGAYTGAATTTTAGAAAGCCCTTAAATGGTGATACTTATTTGCTCTTTTGGCTTTTAGGTACTGTACTGCTTGTGATATACTCTTACACCCTTGTAAATAACTTTTATTACATTTTCCTTAAAGGAATAATTGGAATACTCTGTTTTTCATTTGTTTAAGTATAGACTGTTCACAAGATAAACCTATTTTAAAAGTTTGTAACTAGAAAAGTACATGGATAGTGGAGCTGTTAACAACCCCTCTTCAAGCTCATGACTCTTTTATTATCATTTTCCAGTGCTGGTGTAAACAAAATCTTGGTCTTCCTATATTTCCTTCTGTAGATATTTGATCCATGTGTGATCTGTGAACAGCACTGGAGGACTGACTAGAACAGAAGACATTCAAGAGCTCTTTTGGCTAAGAAACTCTGAGCTTTGTTTATTTTATCCATTATTATTTATAATTGTGGGTAAATAAATAATAATGCAAGTCACAGGATACAATAAAAAATGTGGTAGAAAACTTGTGCAATGATTAACTCTAAGAATTTGGGATTAACAGTTTAACTTATAAACATTGTGGTACAAGYATTAGTATTTCAAAGTATGTATTATTTTCATTTATCTTAGGGATACCCTTCATATCTGGATAACAGATGATTATTATCTAATTTATAATATTGATTCAAGGAACCTGTTTCAAATTACAGAATTAATAGATCTGGTCAGTGCTTCTGCATTTTTTTAATATGAAGTACAATTTTTACAAAATTAACATTCTTTTGGGAAATGTTGACTTGATAGAATTAAGTCCATAGAGAATAGAATTAAGTCCATGGAGTCCACAGCCTCTTTTGTGAACATGACTACATGGCCAGATTCTCTCTCTCAAGTTGCATTCTGATTTCTTTTAACTAAAAAATACAGTGCATCTCATGAATGAAAGTCTTAGAAGAGATCTGGGTCAGTCTAGGAGCTTGGTCCCTCTGAGAAGAAAAAAAGAAAATAACACCAGAAGGGCACGCGAATTTAAGAACATGTAAGCCTAAAGGCAAGTTAAAATGCAGGATCTTGTCGCAGGGTGGTAATGGATGCAAAAGGAAGAGTTAAGAATAGAATCATCCCTCTACTGGTGCATATATGTCTTAAAGGTTTTGGCAGTGCTTCACTTAGTGCTTTGTTAATTCCATTACTGTCCTCTGTACCATATGAAAATACAACTTAATGTCAAACTGACCTAAAATTAAATGTTTTGCTCTAGAATAGAATCACTTTAGTTAAAATGTTGACAAATTTTGTTTTATTGAAGAAAATTGAAATGTTGTTTACCAATCAAATCCTGGGAGATTTTTGCTTCATGAAAAATARTTAGTGTGATTTTTATCACAATACAAATGGAAAACATTAAGTTGAAATATCAACAACCCCTTTGGGACAAAAATTTCAAGTTTGCTTAATTCTACATGCTATAGGATGCTTAATATATAGCAAGTTTTCATCTGCATCAATGTAAAATGGAGATGCATCCTTTCTGAAGAAAGCAGAGCCATATTTTATGATGATTAATGATGTTTTCATACAGTATTATAGTAAAAATAGTTTATTTTAAAAATACTTTTCACATTTTTTATAGTATGTAATACATTTGGAAAACATATAAAGAGGTTCACATAAAACAACATTTAAAATTAGAAGTGTTTTGCTTTGAAACATTTTGAGGCCTTTTTTTTTTACTTCAATGACTTTTTTTCTGACTTTATATAGGAAATTGATAGCATATTCAGAATGCTGCAAATCAGAGGAATACATGTAAGACAACAGATTGACCCACTTAGTTTTTGCCTTTAAGAATTTTACTGAGGTTAGGCTAGAGAGAAATTACTAATTATTCAGCTGAGTATATAGTGGTTATTTGCCCCTGCTGAGGGCAAATTGAAAACTCTAGCATAGAGAGCACCAGTCACAATATGTTCTCATTTGAAGCATGGAAAATTTGCTCTAGTGAGTTTGAAAGCACAAATTTTGGCCCTGGACAAAAGCTCTGYAGCAGAACAGAAGAATACATACATAGTGTCAACTCTTTAATATATTTGGCTTAAAAAAAAAAAAAATTGTGGAATAAAATTCAATAGAATCAACCATTTATGAGCAGAAAAATTATTACAATCTGCATGCCAAAAATGGAACAATGCAATAGTGCAGTCACATCTGTATTTGTGATCCATTGTGCAYAGAACAATGCAAAATATTTTCAAAAATACTCTAGCCCACCCCCTCTTTCTTGTAATTGAGTCCATGTCAGATCTCGGAAACAAAAGTATTCACCAAATTAGACAGAGAGCAAACTCCCATGGCGTTGCAGTGCCACAGCTCTCTGTCTACAAGAGCCAAATGGTGGGTACAAGAAAAATGGAGAAGAGGGAAAGATTACACCAAAAGCTCCTCTTTCAGAGGAGAGGAAAAGTGCAAGACTTCTGCAGTAAAATTCAGTGAATCAACTTTTTTTTTTTTTTTCTCTCATGGAGAATATATACAATTTTTAAGTACAGAATATGGAATAAGAAGTGATTAGTTATCGCTAGCATTTAGCAGTTTTTGTTCTCGTTTCCTCTCCRTTTCGGCTGAGTGAGAGTCTACTGGTACTGCCTTTCTGATGAGCAGCTATGGGTGGGTTGGTTTTGCACTTCATTCCGCTTATCTTYAGCTTGCTCTGTGTTTATTTTTCAGGAATATGACCATCTTACAGCCTTGTGGTTGATTTCTGTGGAAAAGTGAGGGCTAAACGACATATTCTTGGTTAACTTAAAGAAGCAGCTTTGAAAGCAGCAGATCACACAAAACACTGATAGCCTTAGCAAAATGCTTTCATTCTGTTAGACTTAACATAGTGTGCATGTATGCAAGTAGCAGAGTAGTGTAGCTTAAATGGTCAGTCTATGTAAGTAGCAGTTCTCTTGTGAGGATTAAGATGAGCATCTGGAATGCTTTGTAATGCTCTTAAGATGTATTTGCTGTTTTTATTTTATGGGGTTTATGTTATACTCCAGCCTCTGTGTTGGAAACATGCATGTTTTTGTACAATACCATCAAACCAATACAATTTCTGATATACCATGGCATTGGCGTGTGGGTGTTTTTTTTTTTTTTTTTTTTTTGTCAATGTGTGTTGAGCTGTTTATGGATGTGTCTGGAGAGGCAAAGAAAGGTGAAATCGTGAGGCAGTAATGGATTATCATGACATGGAGCTATGGCAGGTTGATTTGAGATGAATCAAGGACTTAGTATGGAAGCATTAATATAATTAATCCTTTCAAACTTGAAATATGCCTCTTATTCACTAAAGCCATTAGTTGCTCACGCTGCACGTTTTTCTTACGCGCTTTGTCATGCATAGAAGCACACGTCTCTGTGCTGATAAGTTAGTGTGCTGGCGTGTTTGGCACGTGCTGTACACACCAGCACTGCCACACGCTATTATGCAGCTGCTTGGCTGCCGGCTTTGGAGGCGAGCTGGGGTGATGAGCTGTGCGTGCCTCCTGCCATCTGCCTGCTGTCTGAGCTCTGCCACGTGTGCTCGCTTGACCTGCCTTAAGATATCTGTTGAAGAAATACTACCATCATTTAAAGCTGAGGGAGTTTGACTTCAAAGGCTTGAAGAACTCAATTGGACAGTTTATTTTATTCCTCTTGCAGTGTTCTAAAGTTACTTTATTTTTATTCCATGAGCAACAAGTAAAATTTAAAGCTATTAAAGTAAATAAGTATACATTTCCATGTAATCCAGATTTCGTTACTGAAATTTGGATGTCCTGATTTATATCTTTACTTTCACACTGCTTGACTCAAGAGAAATGTTTCATTTACCTACTAATGGRTATCCAGCACCATAGTGCTGGATTTCTGCTTCCATGGTTTGGAGAACATGATTTTCCCATAGGAAAAACAAATGCGTTTTCAAAGTGGTGAGTTAAAGCATATGTGGCATACACATACAAATGCATACATGACATACACTTTTTTTTTTAAAGAATTATTATATATGGCTCTGGTCTCCTGCCCTTAACTGTTAATTAGTAGCACTTAGGAGCAAACTCACTGAAGGACTGACCAGCTCACTAGGTATTGCACTGAAGTGCAGCTCAACAAAAACATCTTAAAGTCTCTAAAATGGGAAAAGGAAATTTGGACTTTTCAATAGGAAAATACTCAATAGTGATCAAGTTAGTAATATATGGTGGTAAGTGGTTGTAAGACCACTTGTAAAACCATAGTAAGATGGTTTCATTTAATCTGGCAATGACAACACTTAAAATCCATGTTTATATGTTTAACCTCTGGTGGGGAGAAAAAAAAAAAAAAAAAAAAAAAAAGATTAACTCCTTTGAGCTACAGTTGCTTGGATTACCTCAGGAAATGCCAAAAGTTTATACTGCTGGAATACTACTTTGTTAAGCAATCTAACTAATTGTAAAACCCAATCATCAGATGACCGAAAGAAAGGTGAAAAAGAGGTTGATTCTTGGAAGAGTATCTATATTGGCATAGGAAGTGGATCAGCAATGACTTCTGAATCCATCTGTATCTTTGAGTTATGATGGTGGTTTGTCACGCTGGAATAAATGTGTTTTGTTATTAGGAGAAAGAAATTCTCCCATGTTGTTGAAGAACACTTGAATGCATTTTTAAGCATGCCACAAGAGTTTGTTGTTATAATGTCTTGGCAGTAAAATTGGAAAGTGTACTATGTGCATCTTTGAATATTTATAAGGATTTTATGTTTTCCCTTTTTTTCTGCTTAAAAGTACATTATCACAAATTACAGTTGTGACTTTACCCTAAATTTTGTGAAGATATATTGTAGTTGCATCATGTACTGATTCTGCTAAGGCATTTGAATTCAATCTCATTTTTACTGTGACACATAGGACTATTAGATATCCAACTTGAGTGCCAGACATCTTCCCTACTAAACCTRTCCTGAAAGGCAGAAAATCATGAAGGTATCCCAGAGCTTATAAATTTGGTTTTACTGAACTACTGGCTTCATTAGCTTCTATAAAATCACACATACCTTTTAAGAAAATGTCCAGTGGTATGTAGCAAATTGTCCCTGGTGAYTGAATCACTTAATTACAGCGTTGCTACTTACAAGCTCACTATGCAGTTATAATGCAGTTATCGTCACTGTTTGCAAAGATAACTTAATCAGTTGTAATAACATGTTTTTTCTTCTAAATTTACCTCCAGATTTTAAAATATCATTACTGGTCAAATCCTGTTCTTCATAACATTGCTGAATACTCAAAACAGCTCCACTAATTCAGGGAAGTTACCATAGATTTAAACAGGAAATCTATAAATGAAGTTTGATGTGTCCTGAATATATGTTTCTAAAATCACAATAAAGGACACTGAGTTTTGAGATGCAACTTGCCGTTTGTCACTGACRTTGTGCATGATAAAGACCATGTAATTTCAGAAAACCTGTCCTCTAAATGGAATTAGTAATGCTACATACACAGTGAAAGATGAAGAGGTAAAACATACATACAATCACTGCAAAGCAGCTGACGCATTTTTACCTATATCTCAAACTCTTCAGTAGCTTTTTGTCTATRCTCTCTGACCTTCCTTTGTGCTAAAGGTTCGTGCTGAAGCCCTTTTGACAGCCTGCTAAATCTGGAAGAGTGTCATCAACATGGTGCTTTCACTATTCTTCTATTTCTGTTTATTTTCAGGAATTATATACTTGATCTCAGCTCTTGGCCACCTGGAAGGTTCTGCGTTGGTTCTGACTGTTTCTGCCCAAGATGGGGGTGGTCTTTCCTCTGCTGTTAATGCAGCAGTCACAGTAAACATCCTTCAGGCYACTTTGGCCCCAGCCGTATTTGAGAAATCTCGGTATGCTTTTTCTGTTCCTGAAGATATACCTGAAGGCAGCCCAGTTGGAACTGTAAAGGCCCGACAACCTCTGAGTAAGTTTCATAGTGAAACAGTAAAAATATTTTAATTGTGGCTGTAAGCTAGAAGCATCTGCAGATCTTTTTTTTTTTTTTTTTTTGAACTTTTGTATTACTTATTCAGCATGTTGAACATAAAATAGTATCTATTGAAAATATTTACAGGAATTGCAGTGATAGCTGCTATATCAGGAATCCCTTTAGAACAGACCTCCCAAAGGGGAGATTATTGGAATCCATTTTGGTGGCCCACAGGGAAGAAGAACTGCCCCTGTTTCGTTATTTTTATTTACTGATTTGCTTTGCAAGATAGTTAAAAAACAGTGTAAGTAGTTTCCTTGCATGTGTTTTGCATGCAAGCATCTATTTAGCTGCCGGATGGATTTGTGTGATTGTGAGTGGCAAGATGGGCAATGCCCTGTGAAAGTGTAAGGTATATAATAATAAATAAATAATAAATATTATAATAAATAGATCACAATTTTAAAATAAAATCATTAAATATAAAATTATTTAAATATAAAATTATAAAACAAAATAAAATTATAATAAATGTAATAATAAATCATAAAAAGAGGTGTGTAATCGTATGGCTGATGTTAAAGCACTGGCCCGAAACAGGAACTGTAGAGCAATACTGATGAGCAAACAGCAAGTATGCAAAGGTTTTCAGTAATCTAGGTGGTGTGCTAATGCAAAAAAAAAAAAAAGCGTTCTCAAATTCCGTGAAGAAATCCAGACAAATGTTTAAATTCGGTGATGAAATCCAGACAAATGTTTAAAAGTTTTTCTTTTTAATTCATTTGGTTTCCTCATCACTTTGAGAAGGAAATGGCTTTAATTCTACCAGGCTCCCTGTAGCTGTAAAGAACACTGACCTCAGAGCCATATATGTTTGGTTCTTATGCAGAACAGTGGAACATGAGTCCACATACTTGGACTGTGGGTCTCTGTGTGTAAGGTTATAAAAGGAGAGGTTTCCTAAGAGTCTGTGGTTAGTCACACTTCTTGGCCACAGTTTCCAGGGGTGAGGTAGCACCTTGCCAGACCTGTGTGGAATTGTGGAAGAGAATTTTAGTCAGCATTTGACATGTGTAGCTTATAGCAATAGTCACACATAAATGGTAAAATCAGTAAAATGTAATTTTCTCAGGGAACCTCCATCTGTTTTATTCCTCATTGCAGTGAATCCCCATACGCAGTGAAGTTATTCCCTTAAAAGTAATTTATATGAGTGTTTTCCTATTATTTTGGATTGAGGGAAACAAGARGCAATGATAGTATTTTCTCCACAGAGATTTAACGTACCAGAGATGAAAGTCAAATAGCMCATAATTGGCCAAACTCTATAGTCAGATCAATTCTGTGCAGTATTTATTTTACTGAAGGGTTCCAGGGGTAGGGAGAAGGAAGCATAAAAACCCTGCGACATACAAGTATTTGTGTAAATTATGTTTATTCAGCTGAATTTAATGGTGCACATTCTTCAGATGTTTGTAGAAGCCTTCAGGTTATCATTTTCATCCTTTTCATATTTTGTTGTTCTTATTCCCGCTTACAGATTCTTTAGAAGTCGTTTCTTACAGAATTTCCTCTGGTGATCCATATGGAAGATTCTCTATTGACCCTCAATTTGGTATCATCCACACCAAAAACCAGCTCGACCATGAAACTCAGTCTGTTATATTASTTACTGTTCAGTCACAATTGGGCAATTCCCCTGTCTACAGTAGCACCCAGGTCAACATATCTGTGTTAGATATCAATGACAATCCTCCAGTATTTCATACCAAATCTGGCAAAATAATTATTTCACATATCTTGCCTCCTGGCACAGCTATCTACATTGCTCATGCAGAAGATAAAGACAGTGGCCTAAATGGGGTAATCAAATATAGTATGGCAAGTGAGCAATCAAATGCATTCAGTATTGATCCAGGCTTTGGAGTGGTGAACCTCACCAGGACAGTGTTTGCAGATAAGCAGCAGGAATATATTCTACACATAGAAGCTGAAGACCATGGAAACCCCCCTCTGAGTTCTTTGYTGAAGTTGTCAGTGATTATTGAAGAGCAAAAGATGGGCCCCACTCTAGCTTTTGAAAAATTGGTGTATCAAGTAGAAATCAGTGAAGCTTCCTTTCTAGATGTCCAAGTCCTTCAAGTTCAAGCCCACTCCCTAGATCCACAGCATGTCAACTCCAAGCTGACGTATTCCCTAGAGTCTAGTACAGATTCTGTTGCTTTTGTAATCAACTCTGATACTGGCTGGATTTATCTTCGGAAACACTTGGATTATGAATGTACACAGACATTAAGTTTTAGAGCCCTGGCCAGTACCTTAGAGGACCAAAGCTCCAGGCAAAATGCAAGTACTTTAGTAATAGTTAATGTCCTAGATGAAAATGATAATTCCCCCATGTTTTTACATAATGACTACTACTTCAAAATGGAGGAAAATCCAGTTCCCAGGGGTGTTGTTGGCACAGTCACAGCTGTTGACAAAGACTCTGGAAGAAATGGACAACTTTCCTATATCATCTTGTCTGATGGGACGTATTTCAAGATGAATTYCAACACAGGTAGCATTTTATGCTTTGTAAATTGCCCACTATTGCTTTTGGAAAGCAGTTTTTCTCTAAGAGAATGGAAATAATATGTAAAATTCAAGACCTGCTTTGACTCTCTTGGGTTGGTATATGAATATTCTAACTCAAAGGTCCATAACTTTTGGGATGAAATAAATCTGATGCATGTTCGTGTAGAATGAAATACTAGCYATTAGGATATGATTTTTCATGACCTTATTCTGGTCGCTTGCTCATAAGTTTCAGTATCAGAACATAGCAAATGAAAAGAAGCTGTTTTAAATAGTAGATTCAATAGTGCACAGGAAGAGCTTCTAATTGTTCATGGTCAATCAAAGTTGACAAGTACAGATTAGCCATAAACAACTCTAAAGATCACTATGATATTTGAAACCTAGCGTTTTAAAACATTTTTGCCAAAGCTTCTAAAAGTAGCATCAAAATTAAGCTCGTGCTGTTTATGGCACCACAAAAAGGAAACTGAGACAAATTCTTCACTATAGTGAAGAATTTACAGTGTGAATCCACAGTGAATCCCAATTGCCTGCGGTAAAAAATACTTTATACACACGGTATAGCAATACAGAACACAACATAGGGACATCAAGTGGCAGGATATCCTATAAGGAACACAGGCATTATGAAATAATCCAGTTTAGCAAAAGAATGTCTAAGCAGCACAGATTTGCTGTTTAAAACTCCACTTCCCAGATGTCCTGTCTTCACTTGAGGGGGAAGAGGCTCTTGAATTTATCTATGAATCTCAAAATAAGAATGTCCTTTCAAAGCAATTTCTTGTTGAGTATAGAGGTTTAAAGGCAAACAGAATATAAGGAATTAACCAAGAAGATTTTAAAAGTAGCAGGTCATCCGTGTGAAGTACTGGTSAATTGCAGATTTTCAGGTATATTTAGTGCAGTTGAGCAGGTGGAGAGAAGATTTTGTCAGCTTTATCCATTGGGATGCCAAAATGTGTAGTAGACATAAGGCTTCCTGATTATCATAGAGACATTGTGTTGAGAATTTCCTAACCTAAGGGCATAATAAAAGCCATGTGTGAGCAATTAAAGGCCTGTGCTCATATATTATCTATCCTGAAGTATGGTGGAAAAAAAAGGCCAGGTGGATTTCTTCAGAAGGTCAACRTGTTAGTTTATGCTGTTTTATACCTTTGCTGTGGGGTATCTGGAGTGCAATAAAGAATGTAGTATAATGCTAATGTAGAAATACAAACTTTCTGTTCACAAAGCATTTCTATGGAATGGATTTCAGTAAACTAGGATTTTAGTGTAAGAGTCAGGATATATAAAAAGACATGTAGTATTAGTTCACATTAAATGTATAATTGCATACAATAAGATTAATAGCAGCATACAGCAATATCTCACTTGTTTTCTCCTTTTTCTTTGTTCATCAGGTGAAATTATAAACTGGGTTGCTTTAGACCATGAAAAGCAATCTTACCACCAGTTGACTATCCTGGTGACTGATCATGGGTCACCACAACGTAATGCCACAACAACTGTCTATATCTCAGTCACTGACATCAATGATAACAAGCCTATCTTTCCACAGATTCCTTCTGGAAAAGAACTAAATGTCAAGGTTTGTAYTAGCCATTTCAATAACCTTCTGGTTTGGTTTAGCTGTGCTCTTTCAAGTCTTGTTCTGAGCACCATCTTGTGGCAAAAGCTGAAATAGTAAATTGCATTTCTATGTACGTACCACTCTTGTGCTTAGTGCAATGTGTGTAATCATCTGGCTGTTACTTGAATGTTATGAAAGGAAGCATACAATAACAACAGGAAACACCCATTAGTCCACGTGACCGATGCATTGATGAGAATGTGCAACTTAACTGAGTATTATTAAATTTCAGTTATGAGCACAGAGTTTCCTGATTTGAAATAATTTTTTTTTATTAAGGAATATTACTTCTAATGTATTTAAATTGCTGTTTTACTACAGAACTGTTGAAATAGTAAAACAGGAACATATTACAGAAAAAAAGAGGTAGAAATTTTAAAACTTATTTTCAGATATATTTGATACTTTCAAAATATGTAAAAGTATTAAACTTCTTGTTGACTATTAGTTTTAAAAGRTATACGTATTATTATACATGTATAGTAAACTCTCTTAATTTTTGGTTTCTGATTGTGCTATGCTGGTTATTGTATTGGTTTTTGAATTAGCAATATCTGCAGACCATAATGTGTTWTTACCAGAAATGTAGTAGTTTGAACATTTTCTGAAGTACTTTGTTTATGCTTACTGTAGGCCTTACTGAAAGGGAAAATGTAGTTACTAGTAAAGTATTGCTTTATGTGAAGTGAATTGTTTTAAAGCTCACTTATATTCTTTTACATTTGCAAATTATATATAAACTACTGGATGACAGGTTTTGGAAGGGCAGCCGTCGGGGACACTTGTCGCCAATATGTTTGCAAAAGATTTTGATTCTGGGAGCAATGCTGATGTATTGTACTCCATAGAATCAGGTAAGAATTCTGAATGATATTCCTAATAAAAACCATATATTGACATAACTAGCTTTAGAGACATAGAGGATTTTATTTCTATATAGTGTCAGTTAAAATAAAGGTGCTGATATAAGGAGGAGTTGATACTATTGTGTGTGTTATTGAAGATTTAAGGATGCAGGAACTTCCTTCACCCTCTGCCCCATCATTCCAAGGATTCAGCTGCTTGTAGGGCCAGCCAGAGAATGTCCAAACAGCACTCACACAAAAATAGGGCCATGGTCATGTACGGTACAGTTTARTATTTGTCAGTTATTTAACATCTTAAATGAAAGATGATCTCGCAGTTCCCATGACCAATTGAAAATTTTCTTGCTAAAAGAATAGTTCATGAGAGTCTGAGACAGGGATTAGAAGGATCAACAGTTAATCTGGGCAGACAATGGGATCTGTGGGGTTTAGGTCATGTTTCATCCTTTGTTTAGCATTGTGTTAGCCTGACATGCTGCAGCAGCTTAAAAACACTTCTTTCCCTCTCCCTCCCACCGATATTTTCTATAGCAGTTCACATCGGTCACTTTAGGACCTGGTTTTGTTTCCAGTGAAATTAATAGTAAAAGAATTCTCAATTAGAATATAAATGGGACTGGGACATTAACACTGATAAGGGACGTAGATGTGATCCTTGCTTTTGTCACATACCACTTGCTGTACTTCTATACAAGAAAACTTACATCTCTAAACAATGAGGAAAAAATCCTTCTGCTTTATATCATTACTGATTGGAAATAGCTAGAAATATCAGGAGCAAAAATATTTCTGAAAATCTGTCAGGAAATAGTTTACATGGAGATGCCATACAGTTTTTATACTTTTTCTGTGCTATAGGATTTATGTAATTAATATTTTTTTCAGACTGATATTTTTAATATGTGGCACTTTGCACATTAAACATAATGTTTCTCTGAAATCATGCAGAGCAGAATCATATTCAAGCTATTTCCATCTGCTTATTACATTTTTTTACAGGTGTTCTTTTCTGTGTAGGTAAAGCTCAAAAGTCTGCTCATTCGGTTTGAACTCGTGATTATTTGTCGCTTCCAAGTAAAGAACAAAACTAAATACTATAAAGTTACYTTTATAACAATACCCTTCATTCTAAAGAGACAATAAAGCTGTAAGCTTTCCTTTGCAAGGCTGAGATTCCTGAAAGACTTATTTAGATGTTATACTATACGTATCCTTTTGATTTCCATGAGGTAATGAGAGGATTTTAACATCCAAATTTAGAGGGTCAAAGAACTGTTYCTGTTCTCTTCCACCAAGACATCTTTAAAAAATTAAGATATTTAGCTCCATTGAGAATTTTGTGGTTGAGAAGGATGCAGGTAATAAAAGTGTGTAGGGTTGTTTTATTGCCACATCTTTATTGCCTTAATTTGGCAATGTGACCACCAAAGTGACCACCTCTTTCAGAGGGATTTGGAGAGAACTGTAGACTACTGCACTGTGAATGATAAATTTTGCAAGAAAATAACCCCCTTTAAGAAAAGGGGAACAATGGAACAGGTAGTAAACCTGTTCCAAACCTTTGCTTGAACTGTAATGACCAACCAATATTAGAAGGGTTCTTTATGTTTTTTTTTTAATCATTTTAGTTTATTTTTCTTCTGTCTGCATATCTAAACATATTCCTTCAAAAAGCAACTGTATTTTCTTAGTGGCTACAGTGCAGGGCTGCAGAGGGATGAAAGTAAAAGCTCAAATTATTAAATGAATAACTACTCAAAGTATGACTGATCTTTCAAATATTGTCTCTAGAAAGGACAAAAGAATAAAAGCAAAACCAGCAGCAAAAGCTCTCAAAGAATGTTCTCAAACTCTAAATTAGATATTTTCTTGATAAACAAATCCAGAAACAGCTCAGCTTCTCTGATATTGATTTTTGTTGTTGTTGTTGTTAGTTGGCTCACAGCCTTGAACATCTGGTCTTCTGTTTCATGGTGAAGTTTTTGCCTGGTTTATATTTAAAATAATATTTTCCAGTCTTGGGACATTGTTCAGTACTAAAACCTAAAGAAGAAATATGATCTGATTTAGAGGCATATTTGTTAAACGCAGACATCAGGTTAATTGAAAGGGTGCATGCAGACCAATGCCCTTTTCAGCGGTTTAGCAACTGCTGCAAGATCAAGTGTGATGAGTATCAGTGTCAGCTGTTCAGCTTGTAAACACCACAGGGACCTCAGTCACTGGGTAATTTTCAATGTTCCTGAGACCTTGATGAGCCTCCCAGATTAAAATAATAGGTTATTATTTAGGAGGGCTAATGATTAATGCCCCCAAATTATATAAAGGAAAAATCTGTGAAAGAACCATGAGGTTTACAAAAAAGATTCATTTTAGCCTTCAAAGTAGAAGTGTTTTCTTCTAAATCCTCGTGGTCCCAAGAAAATCAAAGCAAATCATTTAAACATTCTTGTGCATGAAGGTTCTTGATCAAATGGTCATACCTCTGCTTTAATATCATTGCTGAAGAATACCTGGAATCAGGAGGAAGTGAATCCCTCCCCATATGGATTATCCCTTAATAATGCTGAGATTGCTTGGCCTTCTTTACAATTGTCAGTAGATTACTGTAACATTTATAACAATCTGTATTCCTAGTGCATCATAAAGTATTGTTTTGTGTGTTAAGGTTAGCACTAGCAAAGTACAGATTTTTACAGTTATGTTTGAAATGGTCCTGTGGATACATTAGAACTTGGTAGCCAGGATGGCATCAAAAGAATAGTTTGCACTGCTGAGATGCACAAATTGGCCAGGATTGTGTCTTTGTCAGTGGACAAGTAAAACGCCATTTCTTGTTCTCTACAGACATCTACAAGTATAAATCAAGGAAGATTACAGATAGGAAGAGGGCTATACTTCTATAGCAGTCCTGTGGTATTCAAACACTTTGAGAACCATGGAACTATCTTCATCTTTTCAATTAAAAGAAATGTTTTTTTTTTTTTCTCTCAGCATCATCAATTATATTTCACCTGAAAGGGAAACAAGATGACTAAGTGTCTTGAAATGTAGATAAGATACAATCCTTCAGAAAATTAGTTAAAAATGGTTAACTAAAAATATCTGCCTTCTGAGGCCATTGGCATTTGGGAAAAATGTAATGTTACTTTGTGTCCAAATTTCTAAGCTAGCCAGCCTGGATTATGGATCCCCAGCAGACTTGAGTAGTTCTGCTGATTTTCATGACCGCGTTGTGTGGTATTTCTTAGGACACCTTTTCATCTGAAATTGCAGTTTATAATATTGTGTCTTGAGTCTTTTTGCTAAGACCTACTACCAGTCCTCATTCGCTATTGAAGCAAGGGTGAGTCTTTAAAGCCTCTACCTCAACTTGCAGTTATGTGCTGACAGTATTTTTGCTTTTTATTTTATCATTCCATTTGGTAACTCCATTTTGGTAGAAAAGTTAAGGGAATAGTTTTCATGCGTATTTATTCACTCTAGGTAATTTTTTTCATGTTAGTTCGCAGTATCTCTTATTTTAAATGTCATCTTTGATGTTTTGTTGACCCGAGATTGAAGCAGAAAATGCAGAACAAAACAGGGTATCTGTGATTGTAGTGACACATGCTGTTGAGACCTAAAACAGAGAAGTAACCAAAAGCTATTTATAAAAGCAGTAACAAAACAGCATTAATATTTTTATACACTCATGAGAAAAAGCAGTATGTGGGACTGTCATATTCAATACTTTTGTCTCTCTATATGGTTTCATTTGTTGGTAATTTCCTTCTTATAATCCAGATTTCAAGAGTCAATCCAGAAGGGACTTAGGCAWATGAAAAAACCTATAGTCACTCAAAAATAATCGGAAACTATATTGGATAAAGCTTCTATATGGTGAAAGCCCTGTTTTCTAACTACCCTTCTCAATTTTTGATAATTTTTTTCAGGGGTAAATATTTTACTGAAACAATTAAGGTAATTGGTTACACAAATGAACACTTATATGTGCAGCTAACTAATTTGCATGTGCAGATTTGGAGAATATAAACAGCGTCATGCTCACTTAGGTGTCTATGGAAATACAGTTCTTTATGCATGTTTGGTGTACTACATATGCATTGAATTTATTTTTACCACAGTTGCTTATTGGAATAGCAGCTGTTATGCTACGTGACTTTATTTGACCCACTTGCACACCTTACGAAAAATTCATGTGGCAAAAATTTGTTTGCATAGTGTTTTAAGAGAGGAGTAGTTATGACAATTTTGGTTTCTAATGGTGTGTATTAAGTAACAGATTTTTGCCCATGTTGCTGAAAAATAGGAAATCACAAATAACATTTACTGTTCTCTAGTGGATKTTTTCTCTGCAGCTCTAGAATAAATGTAATATGATATGCCTGCTAGTTGTAATTTTAGTAAATAGTAATTTTAATTTTATTAACAGTGTGTTCAGTCCTTAGCACAAGATGTTAATTTCTTAATTTATAATATTCACACATTCACATCATGACAAGTTTTTAGCCTTCCTCTAGTTAATTTCCTGTTCAAAACAATTGCAGGGCTGTATCACTGTAATTATACTGTATTAAGAGTAGATCAGCTTTGTTACTGTCTCCTAGTCTGGAAGGCTGCTGAGCCAGGATTGTGTCTAGAATAATTTACTTGTCCTTTTATACCAGTTTAAATGTTAAGCCTCAATTCTCTCAGGTCTTTCCTGTCAACTTGTGTTGGAGATAGGAGTGTCTTCTTCCCCGCTCATGCACAGGCCACTAATGTGAATAACTTGGTACAAAATAAGCAGCTGCTTTGGTGCTCTATATTTTTTTTTCTCCATAGGTTTTTAATTCTACACTAAGCAGGCCATAATTATTAGGCACTTGAGAGAAGCATTTGGCATCTCTAATAACCTGACACCTATTTTTTCCTGTAGAAGAGAGTATAGGATACTTCAAGATTGATATTATCAGTGGAGAACTAAGAACAACTCAATCTCTGTCATACGCTGAGAGATCAAGCTACAGAATGGTGATCACAGCCAGGGATCAAGGAGTGCCTTCACTTCAAGGACATGCTGATGTGTGCGTCCAGGTACTTGTTTTGTGCAGATAGAAAAGTTATGGTAGATCCTTAGTTTTTTTAAAACACAAAAAGGAAATGTTGAAAAGTCTAAGTACATCATCTCATAATTTTCTTTAGCCGCTTATCGGTTGAGTGAAAAAAATTAGAGGGCAAACCAGGTTTTTGTTTTGTTTTGAATCCACACCAATGTTATGGGTCATCCTGCAAATACACAATATTTGTGTTTCAGTAGGAAGTAGTCATGAAAACTGGAAGATTGGGGAATTATTAAGGTAGACAGAATGAAAAACATACAGAGAGGGGCTGAAAATGGGAGAAATAAACTAAAAAGGCCTCTTAGAATAGATATTGTTTYTCCACTGTATTACTCTCTTTTTCTGAATTCTCTCTCTATAAACCAGTATGAGGCTAGGTCATTCCTTTCTGCTGGTTTATATAGGGTTGCTGTATGTGTGAGTGTGAAATCCAAAATGCGCCTTTTCTGCAGCCAGCCGTTCATCAAACTACAGTGGATCCATTTTGCCAAGGCCGCCTCTGTCTTCTTCATTGCAGGCTTTCTATCTCTGAAACTGCTATTTTCATGTCACGCAATTTTAGGTAGYTTGGAAAAAATGCTTATATCAACAAGGCAAATGCAGTTCATACTGACAAAGATTCAAATTAAAACATTAATACAGARTGTTACAACAATCTATAATCAATTAAATCCTTTAATGATTAAAACAACCATCAAAAATCAACTACTTATTTGAATTAGGCAAAGTGAAAAATGTACCATAAATTCCATGTTAGATTTCCCTCTGTGAGCCCTGTGATAGTGTTGTATGCAAAAAAAGAGTTGAGGTGCTGCAGTGTAGGGCAGAGATAGCACTGTTTGAGACTTCTGTCTGTGTATGCCTGAGTTTCAGAATGGAAGACATCATACTTTTATTTTTATGTGAGAATAAGAGAATAATGGGTTTACTTGCTAACACTTACAGAGCATGTTGAGTTTGTTTATTTGCTTTAAGGTGTACTTCAAATAGTTATTTAATCACAAAAGAAAAAAAAAAGATTGAGGCCTCAATTAAGGAAAATTATTTGCATTAGAGTATTCCTAATAACAATGGGAAATCACTGCAGTCTTTGTGCTTTTGTTTCAGGTAATCCCACTTGCCAAAGGTAGATCAGTCTTCTCTCGAGACTTCAAGCACTTTGTCATACCTGAAAATTTTAAACCAGCACAAGTATTGACTTCTATAAAGTTGTCTGATAATCATCTGATAAACCATAAGAAACTGCATTATAGTATTTCTGAGGAAGATGATTATTTTGAAATAGATAGCTTGACAGGAGATATTTTTCTTTCCAAGGATCTTGACTATGAAACRGCTTCGCATTTCCTTTTGCAAGTAACTGTAAAGGATTATGAGAATACTCCTCCACAGAATACGACTGTCTTCCTGCGTATTGATGTAGAAGACGAAAATGACCATTCTCCGCATTTTCAGGATGATTTTATAGTGATTGGCATAGAAGAAAACATTCCTGTTGGCACTCCGGTGTACACATTCAATGCAAAAGATGGAGATGGCRGTCTCCTGAACAGCAAAATAAAATATTCCATAGAAATGAATAGTGTGGGTGAAAATCCATTTCTTATTCACCCTTCATATGGCACCCTGATCACGGCATTTCCCCTAGACAGAGAGATTGCTTGCTCTGTGGTCCTTACAGTGTCTGCAATAGACCAGGCAATAAATCTGACGGATCGCAGATTTGATTCCCTGACTGCGAAAATTGTTGTTTTAGACATTAATGACAACAGTCCTATTTTTACATCTTCCCCTCATTCCTATGTCATGGAGAATGTGGAAGTGGGCTACCTTGTTCACCACATTGTTGCAAAGGATCCAGATGAAGGAAAAAATGGACAAGTGACATATCACATTCTTTCAGGCAATGAGAACAAAACATTTGTACTGGATGAGGTCACAGGTACTGTAAGTTCTATTTCCTATAATTTGTCATGCCACACTTATGGTAATATCTGGAAATGTATATAATACAGTATTGAGATATTTCATTAATATTTGTCTACTGTCCTCAAGGTTAGTTGGGTAGCATGCAATGTGTCCATGGCAGTACTGCATTCAGTATGGAAATTTAGTGCAAGTTAGCCCAGAAATGTCTGCATAGTAGTGTACTGTGTAGTATAGATGTACTGGGATGTTTTCCAATAGCGAAATAACGTGCAAGAAATGGATGTGCTGTGACAGATATAGTTTGTTGTTGGTGGGTTGTTTTGTTTTTCTTTCAGTATTTACTTAAAGTATGTATACACACATATGTTGGCATATTGATATATGTATATATACTAGGAAACACAAAATCAATATCAAAGTTTTGCTTTCTCTGGAAACAAAATTGTCTATGGAGATTCTAAGTGTTGATTAAATTTCATTCTTCAGGCCTCTAAAATTCCTTGATTCCTGATTAAGTTGGTTAGCTATTATACTATCAGGACAAGAATGCAAATCTTTCCATAATATCTGCAATTTTATTTGGTTTTATATTGATTCTAATTCTATTGTATGCTATAGTTGTCTGTGGTTTGGTCTGTAGAGCTCCTAAGTGTCGACCTGATTTCCAAAACAAGTCCTATATTATTTCTCTGGTAATATAGGTAAAAGTGTAAAACATCATAAATACCTTTTCCTGTAGATACAAATTCACAGGAAGAGTGAGGTATTTTCTGCCTGTAGCAGATYATTTGACAACGTATGATGTGGAAGTGGGTGTATCGTGAACCATTACCTCACATTTGCAAAGCCCTCTGAGGAAAGAATTAAATAGAAATCTCTCTTTGCATCTAACTTGTATGTTTCATGAATGCAAATTTCTCTTAATGTCAGAATGAATGTTTCTAGGCTAATTAGGGAGGAAGAGGTAATGACTGACTCCAAAGTGTAGAAGCCTTGTAGCATTGGCATAGTGTGCACTGCGGTGCTGTATTGGACCTGTGAATGCTGGAACACCTGGGATCCTAACCTTGAATAGAATACTTTTTTAATGCTTCCAATGTTTATAATAGGACTACTATCTACATCACTGCATTTGGACCGTGAGACTCAAGAACGCTACAATTTGACTGTTATGGCTCTTGATGATGGCATCCCAGCGCTCTCTGCAACTCAGATCCTCGCTGTAGTTGTTCTTGATGTGAATGATGAGAGACCAATATTTCTGAAGCAATTTTATGAAACTTCAGTCTATGAAAACCAAGATCCAGGAGAGTTTGTCRTAGAGGTGGAAGCTGTGGATAGAGATTCAGGTAATTTCAGTCCTTTTGCTGTTAATTATGAACACAATAGACCAATTGAGTCTTGCTGCCTAATGTGTTAATGTGGGACTTTTCCCAAGGGGGTGTTTAAAACAGGTCAGACTTTCAACCTTTTTTGGTGCTTAGAGGTATTCTGACTTGTGCACCGAGTGCTCAGATGATGCAGAGCAGTACAGCATACTCCAGGTTTTGTGTGAAAATACTGTCAGCACTCTCATATTTAATGTAGCTACAATATTCTTATAAACAAGGAAATAATGTTCAGCTCAGTGAAAGTTAATATTTTAAATGTTTTATTTCTCTCAGTCAAAATATTTGTTTTAAATAGTTTAGCGGAGATCTGTTACATGAGAGGATTTGCATACATGCACTAATTTTTCTGACCAGAGAGGGGCACTGTCATCCAAGATTTTCTATGTAGTTGAGCTGTAGAGGAATCCTAGAAGCCACTCTTGCCTTGTATATATTGTCGTACATATGTGAAAAAGTGAATGCATTGTTTTTTTCAAACCTGTGCAAAATAGATGAGGAAGAAGCGTGGTTTGTATTGTTATTAAATCACAGGCAATGTATAAACCTGGCAGAGTCTTTGTTAATGTGACAGAATGTTGCCTTAAGTTTTTCAATTACCTGTTCCTTTGAAATATCTAAAATATATATGATGYTACAAGTAGTCGATGTGTTTGAGAGGATCTTAACTTCAGTAATATTAAGCACAGTGTGTAGAATTGGTGTAACATGAAACAGATATACAGAATCTGTGATTTGTAGTAAAAATAAACTGAAAAGATAATTGTGTGTTAATGCTTGCTGTGATTGACACAATTTATCTCGGTTACATGAATAACTCTACCATATGTTCACTTTCTGCACATTTTTAGAATGATATTGGCTGTGCTATCACCAAAATTAGATGTTTTTAGCAAAATAATTTTCACTGTCCAGTATTTCCCATTTTAATATAGAACTTGTACTGATTGCAAAAGACTGATGTAAGAGGCAGAGCTCAGAGCTGCTGCATCTTTTTTTACTTTACTTTACTTTTACATTTACTTTTACATTACTTTCATATTTACTTCACATTTTATTTTACTTAAAAAATAAAAAATGGGTGAATAGCTCTGTCTGAGGCCTGAAATCGTCATGATAGCTGAGCAGTGTTACTATCTACCCTTGTATCTACCCACTCTTCCAAGTATTTTCYTTTGTAGATCACATGAAAATGAAGGCAAAGTATTTCATATAAAAATCTGGAAGTTGGTAGAGAGAAGAAATAGGAATTTGTTTGAATTCCTTTCCCTCCTTTCTCCATTCCTTTTATTTATTCATCACATATCTTGTGGGAAATACAGCAGAAAGGAAATTTTRGGAGCAATTAGGAGGAGGGAGCAGGAGTGACTTGGCAGGATAGGGAAGGGCATTCCAAGCATGAGGGGTGGCAATGACTCTAGCCAGGATGCAGCTCACTGAGCAAGCCCTTTGAGTTGGAACAGGATTGTGACTGATAGTTCCTCCCTTTCTCTCTCTCTCTYTTTTTTTTTTYCTCCCCTTTTTGCCTCCTGTTTTCATTTTTTTCCTTTCCTTTTCTTTTTCCTTTTTTTTCTTCTAATTTTATGCATTTTTCTGTAATTGCAGTCCTTCTCTTTGTTCTTTCTAACATTTAAATGACTTGGCCTGAAGTTATGTATATATATATATATATATATATATATATATATAAAAATTTCAACAATATTATTCCTCAACAAATATTGAAAGTTATACATTTTAAGATGACAGATGTTTATAGCAGTCATATAAACATAATGCTACTCATTTTTTTTATACTTTTGTGATTTTATTTTTTGAGATAAGACTCTCTTCTCTTATACTGTTCTTAATATTTTCATCATGATTTTTACTTTCTTTTCATTTGCTCTTTAAAACGCACTTTGGATCCTGGTAATATTTGCATTATCTCAGCAGAGGGCTTTCGTCCCTTCATTGTTTTCTGTTCTTTGCCTTATTCCTTGTATTCCTTGACTGACCACAGGGAGGAATTATTTTTACAGACAGTTGCAGCCATCATCATCTTTTTATTTATTTTTCTACCATATATATTTTCTATGAAGGGAAGAAGGAAAGCAAGCAGCTGTAATCTGTTTCACGTTTGAACCAAGCTTTAAGCTTGCTGCCACTTCAAATGTCTTCTGTAGAAATCACTATTTTTTTTGTAGAAATTGCTACTACATATATATATATTTTTGCCTGCAATGATTTTCTTTCACACACATATCCATAAAACATTCTATTCCAATCACTCCACCCACACGTTACTATATTGACACTTATTACAACTCTACCTTGGCTTACTATCAGTCCTCCAGCCGTGGATGGAAGCTTTTTCATATATRTATATACACACACACATATATATATATATATACACACACACACTTATATGTATTAAATATATATAAAATATATAAAATATATAAAAAAGCAAAGATATCCGCAAGCTATTTAATCTATGTCAAGGATTTGACTTTAGATGTCTCTTTGCAGAAGGGAATGAATTAATGAACTTTTAAGCTGCTGGTTACCTTTCTCATTCTGTCTGGAGAATTACATGTCATTCTGTCTGGAGTTGGGTAGCTAATTTAGAATGGACTTATTTTAGCACCCAAAAGGTAACCAGCACTATTTTTCAATAAGACAACAGGCTGAATTAAGTGTAAATATGTTAGTTGCTATGTCAGGCTCATGGTATGTGGAGCCATCCCTCCTGTCTCTTGGGTAGGGTAAGGTGTGCAGTTCTTAGACATACGCTCCTGGCAGCTGAATATGAGAAAGGAAGCAGTAAATGCTGATAAATAAGTGTAATCAATGGTGTCACGTAGCTGTGTGTCTTAAAGGCTAAAAGTTTTCATTTCAACACTGTGTGAATAGTCAAGCTTTATGGCACCTGTGGGTTTGTGCAGCACAGGCTGTAAAGTGTCTACTGTGAATTCTGCCAGTGGACAGACAGGATCAAAGCYGTTCAGTTACAGTGGATCAAAGGCTAGTAGCTAATAGCATCCCAACTTGTTTTGTGTATTTTATATTTCATGGGTAGCATGTTGTTAGTTAAGGATAGACATGTGCCTACAGAACTGCAAAGATCTTTTCTTAAATGTAGTTACRTGATATCTAATGTGGATGGATTGGGCTGAGTGTGTTGATAACTTTAAATTTTGCAAAATATTCTCCTTTATTGCTCTTGCTTCTGCAATTTTTCTTCTTTCTTTTCGACAGCTGGAAATTTTTCTGTAACTTRTTTTCCTTTTCCTATGTATAAACATCTTTTTATGACTATATTGTGARTATGTTCTTCCCCTGAACTAGTTTAGATACAAAAGCAATTGCACTAATCATTCTTTCAATAACACTTCAGTGTCATTGACAATTGTTTAGCAAAACTATTCAAAGGGAAAACAAGGCAATCTTTGGCATTAAAAATTGTAGGGTCTGCTGCTTCTCTCATATTGATGTGTCTCCATTGACTCTGGTGTAGATGGTCCTATTTTACAGTGCAGAGAATGAAAACAGGCATCCAGTATTCAACTTCAAATAAYATTTTTGGTATTACTGGCAGTGCTGTAGTTTTCCAGGTGTGCTAACTATGCCTACACTACTAAAAGACTAATTGTTGGTTGAGAAAGCTTAGAAAAGGGATTGAATGCAGTTTAGGAAAATCTGTAAATGAGTGAACGCAATGGTACAAGATGAATGTTTGTTGCCCTTCAAATATGAGTATTTTCATTAAATTTAATAACATTAATGTTCTTACTCTGCAACTTGTGATGGACATGGCACGGCACTTTCCTCAGAAGGATATTGAAGCTACCAGAAAGAAGGAAGAAATTATTTTGTATCCAAAATGTGTAAGAATCACAGACTATTTGGGGCTGGAAGGGATTTCTGGAGATCTAGTCCAACTTCCCTGCACAAGCAGGGTCACATAGAGTAGGTTGCCCAAGTCTGTGTTCAGTCATGTCTGARTATCTCCAGGGCTAGAGACTCTCCAACTTCTCTGGGGCCAACCTGTTCTAATGTTCAACCACCTTTAAAGTGTTAAAATAAATAAATAAATATATATATATACACACACATACACGTATAAAGGGTTTGCTTATGTTGAAATTTCTCTGATCTCTCTAAATAGTAGCACAATCATCTGGAGTATCAGTCACTTCTAGTTTTGTATCATCTGTGAACTTGCTGAGCATGCATTCAGGCCCAAAGAATCACATTTCTTGCCCAGCACAGGCAGACAGCTTCAGAAATAAAAGATTTTAAGACTTCTGTACTTTCACTCTACTTCTTTCCCAGAGAAAGAGAAGGGCTATGATCGTACACTGTATACAATTGGTAATGAAGAGTTGRTTACATCTATAGAATAATGTCATCCATAACACATTTCCCAGGTGGAAGAAAAGAGAGCAAGACATGTATAATAGCATGTGAGGAGTTTGGCTGTATTTCACTAAGACTTYCCTTTTGTTTTTAAGGACTGAATTCCTTGCTTCAATATGAAATCTTACCAGGAAGTGGTTATGGGAATTTCAGGATGAACTTAAACACTGGGAAGATTGTGACAACCATGTCACTGGACAGGGAAACTGAGGAGGTTTTCTATATTAAAGGTAACAATATGAAATATCCTTGGAGGCCTGTAAATGGGAGGTGAGAATTGCTAATGTCGTTATCAACGTTGTGTTCTTGTCATCTCAATTACAAGTGGTGAATMTTTCAGTAATGGGGAGTAACTACATCCTTTTTACATTGCACACTCTATTGTTCTGATGTTATAAAGCAGCATCATTGTTGTGCCCCCAACCATTGTATAAAATATGCCTTCTTTTTATTAATCCTAGTTTTGGTTCGAGATAGTGGAACTCCTTCGCTTTCAAGCACGGTGACTGTTATCTGCAAAGTACTGGATGAAAATGATTACTCCCCAAAATTTCTTTTTCCTGTCTCTGAGATTTGTATTCTAGAAAATCAACAGCCTTCTGTAGTTTACACTGCCTTGGCTGTAGATGAGGATGAGGGAAATAATGGAATTCTAAGATATRGAATTAATGGTAAGTAATTTTATATCATTCTAATTAATATAAATTAGGAAGTATGTAAACAGTTTCAAGATTTAAAGTAGACTTCATTTTACCTTACCTGCCTGGCTCCCGTCTTGTAGAGCCATTTTCTTCTTCACATGGAAGAAAAAAAAAATAGCACAATTCTTTTACCTCTTTCCAGGTATACTTTTGGCCTGTTTTCTGATGTAGGACCAGTGCAGAAAAGAAAAAGAAAATCCCATCAAATACTAGAAAGAGACAGTTATGAAAAGGGTATATTTTTGTCCCTTTTCTCATAGTAGTGGCAATTCTGAATATAAAGCTACCTTTTGAACCCTTCCAAATAAGCACAAAAATACATCTAATTAACTGGACTTTTTGTTTCGTGAAAGCTGGTTTYAATGTAAGCTCCATAGCTGTTCAAAGCCTCCTGCTGTATCTTTGCACAAATACGAGCCAGCTTTGCSTTTTTTTTGGTTTGGGGCTGTCAGCAATAGTTCAAATGTAGGCATAGCTATTGTAACAGTCAACATTTTTTTTTTTTCTTTGAAGAAGCAGTTACAAATTTCTTTGTTTCCTTGATTTTATTTTCACAATCTTTATGGTCTTTAATTTGATCTTTTTGCTATTATGAAAGATGTATACCATTCACTGGTACTAAAAGCACTGGCTTCCCTTCTAGGAGCAGCTTCAGAGGTTTACTATTTACCTATTTTTACTCTCCCAAATTAAGACCTCACACTACCATTTTGTTCCTAGAGACAGGTCTGTAGAAGAAAGCAAGGGGCAGGTAATCACAGTTGTCAGTGATGYTGCATTGGTTTCTGGAATTTGTGACTAAGTTTGGGAAGAGGTCACACTGCAGCAGCATAGTTGCAGGAGATTTTATAAGGTGTGCTGCTTTGGAAGAAAAACATGCATCTGGCAAGATAGCTGCTCTGTAAATTGATATGGCAATCTGTATTTACTATCTTTGCTACTCACTGATTTAAATGAAATGCAGGCTTTAATCTTTATAAAAGAAAAAAATATGTTACAGGCATATGTGTGCAGACTGGTACTAGCAGTTGGATCATTTCATTGCAATTAGCGTAGTGGTAGTCACAAGGAATTCCTTTTTCAATTGCAATTGGTTTCGATCATTTTATGTTCTATGTGTTTGAAAGGTGGAAACGCTGGAGAATACTTCAGACTAAACAGTACCTCAGGAAAACTGTTGGCCACTCGTCGCTTAGACAGAGAAGATATTAGCAATTTCACTCTTGTAATTGAGTGCCATGACCTGGGCAACCCTCCAAGAAGCTCTACTGCACAGTTATATATAACAGTCTTGGATGAAAATGACAACAACCCATCATTTGCAAAGGACCGCTATCAAATCTCTGTAAGAGAAGATCTAGAAGAAAGTTCAGTTGTCCTGGAACTTTTTGCTTCTGATGAAGATGATGGACTAAATGGTGAAGTAGTATACTCTGTCATTGATGACACCTTTGGAGCATTTGCTATTGATAGTGTGACCGGTTCTATAGTTACTACACAGATATTGGACCGGGAGACCAAATCAGTGTATATGTTTAGGGTGGTGGCAAGTGACTGCAGCACCCACTTGCCAAGAAGCACCACTGTCAGCATCGTGGTACACATTGAAGATGTAAATGACAATGATCCAGTGTTTTTACAGAATCCTATCAAAGCCTTTGTGCCATTTGAAACCTCTGTGAATGAGACAGTAGCCACTGTTAGAGCTGAGGACATGGATCTGGGTCTGAATGGATCGGTTGTTTTCAGTTTGATGGTACCAGCACCTCTGTTTCAGATTGACAGGTATACAGGTGACATCATCCTTAAGGAGCCCTTGGTTTCCAAAAACTTCAGTACCCAACTGCTAGTGATGGCTCTGGACCAAGGCATCTCTCCTCGGACCGCCACAGCTATGGTAGCTCTCTTTACAGAGGACCAAGAGGAGGAGATTTCATTCAGTCAGAGCTTCTATGAAGCAAGCGTGCCTGAGAACAGTGCAGCAGGTGGGTATCCAAGCCTGGCTATTCTTACAGGTGCTGGTTTTCTACCCTACAGGGTTGATAATGTTGATGAATAATGTAGGGAAATCTTCCTTTGTGCCATCTGAGAAAAGTTAGATTTGGAAGAAGCAAACACCCTTCTACCSTTTCCCATGGCCAAAAATAAGAATGGTCTGTTAGATGAAGGCACAGTCTGTCTCCTGGGTTTGCTGCATGTGTGCAAGGAATGTTACTCACGTTAAACAGAATGCTTCTGAGTCAAAGGTGATGTCTTTCCATCCCTCAGCTTGGGAGTCCCAGAACATTCAGCACCCTCAGCTTGGGGGTCCCTTCAACAATGGAGAATTAAGGGTGAAGATGACTGTTGCAGAAATTATTACTATATATGTCAAATATTTCTTCCTTTGTGTCACTTCAGGACCACAAGCCAAATTTTCAGCTGTGTATTTTAACACAGGTAATACAAGTAGTAACCTGTACTCACAGGTAGTTATACACACAGTTATACACAGAGGTAGAATGTGAGTATAACTGATGTTTCATTTAACTGATTAAAAAAAATAATAATGTGAAAAAGATGGTTTCAGATTAATTGAAATTTTCCCATGAATTTGACTGGGATTTGTAAGGAGCTTTGGATGTCGTAAAAAAAAAATTTTTTTACGAAAAAAAWTTGTGAGTCACAGATACTCAAAAGCCTTTTTTTAGAGCTAGCATTGTACAGTAATTAGTTGCATGTCACTCTGCAGTAGACTCTCTGCTTTCCTCCATTATGACTGGACAGGCTAAATTTCCTTTAGCCTTACTGTTTTTTCTTACCTAGATACCAGGAATATTAAAGTAAGAATATCAAAATAAGAGCTTTTTGGTAATATTTAAGCTAATAAAAACTTTGATGGGTCTGGCTAGACAATCCAACTCAAAGTTACAGAAATGCCCTGAGGAACTGTGGAAACGGAATACAATAGTCACATGTTTTCCCACTCAATCCATAGAAAATATAGATAATATTTGTTTTGATTAGAGGAATTACAGCAAAGCTTCAGGGTAAACTGAAAGGTTTCATCAGAAAATTTTAGTTTGTATATTTAATAAAAGGCAATATGCTAAGAATATCAAATTCTTTTAAGAGTATGAGAGATTTTTATCAAATACTGATACTATTCTTGCTCTATTTGTTTGCAGCATTTTCTTGTTTATATAACCACAAGTACATGTCAAATATGTTTCAGGAAAAAAAAAAAAAAGTAGCTTCCGTAGAAGTTAGCTTACTAGATGATATATATGATCCTTAGACCCTTACAAATATGAATAATGCTAGTGTATTCAGTCCAAGGGAGGTTTATGTTACATGCTGAGTGTTTGTAGAACTGTTATTAATAAATTTGGCTTTTGTTCCTAATTTTATTTCTACCTATCTAATAGGATGGGAAAACTGTGAGTTTATTTTTAAAAGAGTCAAAACTCAAAATAATCTAAACGCTGAAAACCAAAGCCAAAAGTCCTTTAATTCATTCTGAACTTCCTTTTGGGTAACTATCTTAGGAATTGGACCATGTGGTCTAATTTTCTTCAAGTGTTTGACCTCCAAGTTTAATGACCTTCAGAAAGCCCCATTCTTCTACTCTTTTGTTTAGTATTCAATATTTAATGACTTTAAATATTATAAACTTTATTGCAACAGGCATTTAGAAACCAATCAATAAATAATCAAGTCACTGCACTCTCCAGAGTGCAAGAAACTCTTTTGTTATTCACCAAGCTTTCAGCTGAGTAGCAGTTTGCATAGCTTTCCCTTAGAGAGATTCACCAGTAAAACTTATTGATTTCTGCTGTATTTGCAGAATATCTTTTTATAATAGATATAAAATATGTTGCCTATTTTCTTCTGTAAGTCATCTCTTAAATTTTGTGCTCATTTAGTTTTCTTTATTAGCAATTAAAAGTTCCCAAGAACTCGAGGGCAAGGATGAATCAGATTGAAATGGGGAAGGAGGGAGAAACTCAGACCACCATACTGAGAACAGATATCAGAAGAAAAACAATTATATGGATTTTACAACAGCTCACATCTTGTGTATATTTTACAACAGTTCATATCTTGCGTATATTTTATATCCAGACTTTCAGAAGTTCTTATTAGCCTGTTTTGCCTGGTAGAAAAATATTGTCCAAGCTGTGATACTTTATTATCAAGTCAGTGATTATAATGGAAGGGTTGAATTCAAGTACCTTAATGTACTTTCAAATAACATTGCTACCTCTGATTGAGTTGAAAAAACAAATACATTTTTTTTTTAAAATCACTATCTACTTTCTCTAATATTCTTAACTAATTTGGAAGCTGGTAGCACAGCATTTAAAGCCAGTAATAGTTTTTTGTTTGCTGATATCTCTCCTCCTTGCACAACCTTCAGTGCTGATCTGATCTTTTGCCATGACATTTAAATGTGCTCAACAAGCAGAAAACTATGTTTCTGTTGGGTTAATTTGCTGCCAGGTTGGTGCACTGAAAGGCCTCGGAGAGTCTATTGAATGTCAGCTCCAAGGAGAGGAAAAGTCTGTATTTTGAAGCACTGGTGAGGGCAGTATCATGTCAGCTAGAAGTCACTTGGATTTAGGGCTGCTGTACAACTGCAGGTTCAGTGTTTAATTTTGTGACCTCTGTTTGAAGCAATATTTTAGTCAAGTATAGGTCAAATTTTAAGCTGCAGAGGCTAAGAAGTACCTTGTGTAGTGTACCTGTACAAGGTTTATTTGCACCTCAGTAGCAACTTCAATTTGGTCAAATTTTTTAAGATAACCAGAAGACACTAGTGCAAAATGAAAACATTTAGAAAAATATGAAACACATGAAAACATGAACAGAGCAGCGTTTTAACTACTTACTTAGTAGGAAAAACAGGGATTTAAATGGAAATACTGTTGCATTCTTTATTTCTGGCATTTTTTTTTTCTTTTATTTAAAAACAAAAATCAAACAAGACTCCTGACAGGGTTACAAGATGAAGGAAGATAACTGGGCCTTGAATTTTTTTGCTATCTTTAACTCCGGTCTGAGAATGTTATAAATGATTGCTGGTTTCTATATTAAGTCAAGCAATGAAAATTCACCCTAGAGTCATCCAGAGGGCCCCCATTTTAGTTCCTAAAACAGCAATGAAACTCTAAGTATCTATCTTTACCTACAGCAGGCTTTCATAGTAAATTATTCTAGAAATATATTTGTTAGTGTGGGAAACTCCTTCCATCACAGCCAGCATACTTTTGCTTTTGGTTGCTAGATTATAGGAGTCAATGATAAACTATTTAAAACAGCATTTTCTGCTTTTCTAAGTCAGTAGGTATAGTACTTAATGGTACGAGAGAGAGAGAAGTAAAAAAAGAGGTCTGTACTAAAAAAACAAAAACATTTCCTCTGATTTTTACACCAAAGATAAAGTCCTTCCTTCCAACATCCAGGACATTTTACATGAACAGCATTCTCTTTGTAATGTAATAAAACAGCTAGCTGTCTGTAGTGCTATTTCAAAGATGTTAGGCTGTAAAGTAACTTCATACAATCAGAGTTGAATGGAATCATTTGAAGTTGAATTAAACAATTAAGATCTATGGAATCAACTGCCATATGTGCTAAATGATTTAATAACTAACTCGAATATAATCACTATTTGAAAAACTTAATGCTTTTTAAACTTATAAAAGTTGAAATGTGAGATTTTGATCAGGATAATATTTTCAGATACATATTTTTCTCAAATCCTAATTCAAACTGAACTTTTCTGTCACATTTCTTGTAATCTACATTGGATCATTGCTTTTCTTCATTGAACTTGGATTCTGCCTCTTTCTGCTTCTGTAACAAATAGCTATGTGTGCAGTTGTAGCTTTTCATTCTGTGAGAAGAAAACTACATAAAATCTTTAAAATTAATTTAATTTAAAATATTTTTTTAAATATCCAAATTGAGTTTAGATAAATGAAGGAATATAAATCAATCTATAGTCATTCAGAGTTAACATAAATACTTATGAACCACAAAAATGGTTTCTTCTCTAAGAAGAATGCATGAAAAGGTGAGATTAAAATGACCAAAGACAAAACACGAATAAAAAGAATACAACCTTAGAATGCAACCATTCAGTCAACCTTAGAAAGGGAGTTTCATAGCCGATGTTTATCTTTCACCCTAAATTCAATCAGGGCTCTCTGGCAGAGAGAAAAAATACTTAATTTTTTGAAATATGACTTCAGGTTAAGAGGTAGTTCCAGTGGTGTATGGAAGTCTTTGCCTGTAGGAAAAGTTGTTGAAAGCTCATCATTTTATGAGTCAGATGATGAAGTTAGGATGAAATGACTAATGATTTATAGGGCAAGGTGGGATAGGCAATGTCTTGCCTATTAAGCTGCAGTGCAGTAAAAGTTCAAGGAGGAATTGCTTTTATTGTCTACTGTTTTAAATCTTGAAGAGATGATTAAGCTGGTACACAGATGTTTGGGCATGCAGCTACTATTAATCACCATAATATAAAATCTGGGTAAAATCTTCTGCAATAAACATTCTAAAAATATCTTATTGTTTCTGTAGGTACATCACTGGTAACTGTAGAAGCTTATGAACAGAAATTAACAGGAGAAAGCATAAAATACAGCATCTTCAGTGACAAAGAAAACATGTTCTCCATACATCCCATCACAGGTACATTTATACATTTATTTAAATTTTTAAGTATCTTTTGTTTTTTAGAGAGTGTAATCTGTCTGTAAATTATAGCAAGCTGCTACCACAATTTTTATATTTCAGTGTGTATGCACATAAAACAATAACTTGTATACCATAAAAGTAGATACTTTATAATAAACAGCTCCCCTTAAAAGGAACAGAAATTAGTAAAGCCAGAAATGTGGCAAGACTGACACTAGTGTAAACTTGATGTGGAAAGAAATGACACAAGCGAATACATGTTTAAAATGTTTGTTTTTAATAAACTAGTGATTACTGGATTTGGAGGGAGTCTGGATAAACTGTTGCTTCATGTTTAGAGGTGACACTAAACGTTAAAACTACTAAATGCTAAACACTCTCTCTTGTGTCTTATCACAAAGCTGTCAAAAAAAAAAAAAAAAAAAAAAGCCTTCAGTATAAATAAACCTTCCGAACACACTTAAGGATGCACTGGACCCTTGTTGAGTTTAATGGTTCACACAGACACTTTGGAAAAAAGTTCCTTGTTCTTTGAACAACTGTAACTTCTTCAGAAAGCATATATATTTCTGCAGTATTACCTCTCCCACTGACCCTGCCTCAAAAAAAAAAAAAAAAAAAAAAAAAAAAAAAAAAAGCAGAGGGATGGGATTTTTCTTTTTTAAGAAAAATAATAGACCAGGCTGCAAACTGGTTACCGGATGTTTTGCAAGGTCTCATAACCACTTTCCTCACAAGCATTAGTTGAATTTGCTTAGTACTGGATATCATGAATCTTCTTTTGAAACTTTTAAACCGTTGTGGTAAAGTATGGATATCAACACTAGATGGCTTCTTGTGCTATCACAGGTTTGGGCTGTAGATATTCATGACATGATTATTGAAAAACTAATTACAAAACTGAATTTGGTTTCTCATGAAATCAGCACCCAAATAAACTATGTTTAATGTTTAGATGTAAGATGTAAGAATTTTGATTTATCACTATATTCTTTAGAATGTTGGAACAGTGACCACAGATAATTCTTAAGAAATTTTACATTTAATACAGAGATGTTGAGTTGTACCTGCACTGCATGTAACTTTCACTGATTCTTTTTGACTGAATAATAGTTTTACTGGGAAAGAAGAAGCCTTAATGTTTCAGATGTGTAGGTCAGCCAGATATAGAGACTGATACAGCTATTGCCTCGTTTGGATATGGATGAGGTCCTTGCCTTTTAAAGCCACTCTTCAAAGGAGGGCCAARAGACTCCTGAGATACAGCTTTTTGCCTGCCATACAATCATGTTTCTTCCTCTCTGTCCCTCTAGAAGTAAATTTGCTTTGTTTTAGGAAGGTACCATGTGGTAGCCAATGAGGGAAAACTTAGGATACCCTAGATTTGTGCAGTGATAGCATGTGGAGGATGATGCTAGATAGAAGAAGTAAAGGAGACCACTTTAATTAGAAATTTTATAACTTGTGGGCTTTTTTCCTGATTACATATGTCACATCTCAGTTTCTTTTAATAATCAGGTGTGATCACAGTCAAAGAGCCAAAGTCGCTTGATTATGAAGCTAAGAATAAAGTACATCTTTTAGTGTTGGCCGAAAATAGCGTGAATTCAGCACTTGGTGAAGTGATGGTTTGGATACAAGATGTGAATGACAATGTACCTAAATTTGAGCAAAGCTATTATAAAGCGTCAGTATGGGAAGGCCARATTCCTAAAACAAATATCATACAGGTAAGAGAAAGTATATCTTCACAAGGCCGTTTCTGGGAGGGGGAAAAAAGTAATCTTTGGGGCCTCTTTTGGACTGCCAMTTTTTTTTAATATCAAGAGTGGAACTCTTGGTATTTCTGCTACTTTGCTTGGATATCTAAACTAATTGTTGATTCTTTTTGCTAGCTCAGATTTCAAATCATTCATTCAGTTCTATGAAGTGGAAGAAGATTTTTTTTTTCTTGCTAGTTATGCAGCTTAATTTTTAATTTCTTTTTTTTTATTATTTTCTGTTTATTTCTTCAAGTAATTGAAAAGTATTCTTCAAAACTATGGTTCTGGCTACTATGTAATTTGGATCATGCATTACAGCGTATATTTAAAAGGCTTGTAGCACTAACAAGAATATTTTCAGCTAATCAGGCTAGGAGTAGAAGCCTTGAGTCAAAACTGAGTGATCAATTTAAAATCTGATGCTTCAGGAGCAGCTTGTCTCAATTTAAAAGTGCAAACACTTCTTCTTCTGAATGGATCTATTCTCTGAAAGTATTTCCAGCTGGTCAAGTTTAGGGCAAAAGAAGACATCAGCTAGACTAGAAGAACACATAATTTCCTCAATACATGTTCTTGCATTGCACGTCAGGTCATGGTGAGGGTCCTATTAGGTACTGCATATATTTCTCCTCTAGAGAGCAAATAAATAGAAACTACAAATGCCCCAAGGACAAAGTGATTAGGAAATGACGGACATTTTATTTAGAGAAACATATGTCCAGCAATAGGGAAAATCAAAAGGCAGTAAACCCAGATGTGCAGTCAAAAGTTTCTTATGGAATACATTCTATTATGTCTATTATATTTATTGAATCTGACTAGTTACCTCTGCTATGATTTCATTCCCATAGTTATTAAAATGCTTGTTCAGCAACCAGAAAAGATGCARAGAAGCTTCTTCAAAGAGTCAGAAGAATCTGAGAAACATGTTCACTGGTGTTGAGAGTTATTCTTTCAGATGTTTTCATAATTTGCTTTGCCCCTTTTACATTTCTTCATATTTTGAAAAGTAATTGATGAACTATCCCATGAAAGCTCTGAAAACCATTGTAATCAATTAATCTTATGCTTTATTTGTATTGCAGCAATACTTGAGTCAGTCCTGGACATCTGATAAGGTGCATTTTTATGCACTAAAGAGAGGCAGAATTTTATGAACAACCATATAGTAGTATAAGCCGTGTAAACATGATCACATTCAAGAACAATCACCCCTAATGCTTTATAAAGCTGAATTTCAAATTGCTCAAAAAAAAAAAAGAAAATTATGTGCATACTATTTAAATTTGTGAGCAGATATTTTGGCCTAACATGACCTCCCATGTTGGGGGCCTATGTGATTACTCACTGGAGTCTGTGCAGCCAAGAGGAAAGTAACCAGATATAGAGGACTGTAGTGTGAGGCTTCTCTTTCTGAACTTGCATTCTGTCTTGTTGAATTAAGTTTTAGTTTTCTTTCCAAACAGGTATTTGCAACTGACCTTGACAGTGGGCTGAATGGAGAAACTGAATACTCAATTGTATCTGGTAATGAAAACGCAGCATTCCTAATTGATTCATCACGAGGGATTTTAGCAACTAATGCGATCCTAGATTATGAAAACACTTCRTCTTACAGGTTTGTGTACAGAGTTCTTTTAAAAAGCATCCTCCTTTTTTCTTGTTCTTCTTAATTAGAAATAGATCATATTACACGTTTTGTTTTCATCAAACTGTAGATTTTGCATGCAAATCAGCCATCATCAAAAATAGTAGTAAAACTGCCCATTTGTATCATGACTTCTGGATGCTTCTTGATTTGAAGGGAAAAACATAATTTTATTCCCTGCATTGCAGCAATTGTTGATAAAAATGATCAAACTGATCATTATAGAGAAGATAACATTTCTTAGATTTTCATCCAGGTAGAACTATATGGCCATTCTCTACTTAGAACTTTTTTTTTTTTTTAATAAATATGTATAGACAGAGAGAAAGTGCTCAAAGCAAATGCAATAAATTAGGACATGTTCTGTTCTTATCCAATATATTTGGATATATTTTGAATTTTCTTTTCCATAATCTGATTCTTCCATAAGCAGTTTCTGTCTATAAGCTGTTTTGTACTTGCTATTTGTTTTCTCCTGTATTCCAGAAAATCAAGTGGACATGACTTTCTTTCTTTACAGCTCATGCCATAATTAAAATTAGAAAGCAAACAAATTGTGCCTTAATGACAAAGTAAGAGTATGCTGATTTGTTAACATAAACTTTCTGAATAATGCAATTTCTACAAAAAGCAAATTGCTGTATATGTGTCAGTAGAAATTATGATTTTTTCCATATGTTTGTGGCATCAGTTAAAGCGTTTGCAAGTTTTCCTACCCTCTGGGGCCACAAAATTTTAATCATCCAATCAGTATCCTTATAAGCCAGAATAACATTTCAAAAAACACATCAAGAGGACCAACAGAATATGATTTTTTTTAAAAAAAAAATCAGTGTAATTTGATAATAGGATCCTAGAGGAACTATTTTAGCTTAATATCAAGAGGACTTCATTTAAAGTTTATATGTCATCATTTCATTGAATCAAAAACTAACTTTTAGTCATTTAAATAGCTTAACATATTTGATTTGTAAATGGTRTTTTAAAGCAATCTTGGAATAAATACTTCAAAGAATAGATGTTTGTTGTTAATGAAGCACTGAACATCTTCATGCATCTGCTTTAACTGGGGACTTGATTCGATTCAGTATTTATTTTGGACTTTTATCATTTTAAATTAACAATTTGTTAGAGGAATCTGAAGTCTCATATCCCTTTTTTTTTAGTAGTACTTTATTAGTAAATCTGCATACTACTATGTTAGGTGAAGAGAGACAAAAAAAAGAAACTTAGATTTTTTATGATTAATTTCAAAATGATGCTATTAGTCCTTGCAAATTTGAAGGGAGTTGTTTATTTTATCTAAATTGAACGTTTTCATCCCCAGAAGTTCTAAGCCCTTTATAATAGGGGTTATAATAAAAGTGTTGACAGAACCTTAATTCTAATGCCTTGGCTGAGATGAGTGGTTTTTTTCATGAAACCTTAGAAAGTGATTATTTTTAGTAAAATATTTCCATATGTACCTTACCAATATTCATTCTAGACAAAATACTCTTTCTGTATGGAATTTTACATGGTCACCAATGGAATACTACTCTGTAATTCAAGTTATGTGTTCTGTGGATGTCAGAAACCACAGGGGCACCCAGAGCAGAGCGTCTGTGGTTCACGAATGGCAGAAGAATCCACAGCTGGAATTACAGCTTTGGTATTCCATATTGTCATGTGAATATGGAAAAAGTAATATCTGCTTGACACTTAGAGCAGAAACTATGACTTGGAAGAAAAAGCGAGAAACAAAGTACTCAAAAGGTCTGCGTGCAGGAAAGATCCAAGAATATTATGTGGCATGTAAACAGTTCATAGTTTTCAAAACATTTAATGCAGATAAAGGTCTTAAATTGTACATACCTTCACGTAGTCTGACTTTTTTTAATCATTTCCTTTTCTAAAAGACTTACTGAGCTAGATTTGATTTCTGTATTCTTGCTGAAATTGTTATTTTGGAAGTTTTCAATCTAATCTCATCTTCCTAATGTCCCTTCAAAATCAATAAAGAAAGGAAGAGAGGTTCCTTCAAAGAGCAGTTCAGTACTTAATTCAGTTCCTACTCTGAATTGCCTTATGGAGAGATTTCTCTATTTGGAAAAAAAAACCAAAAGAACTTGCTAGTTCATTTAAACAACTCCACTTGATATGAAATTGGATGACATGAATACTTAAGAATACAGTATGTTTTTGCTACGGAACCTCCTGGATGTTCTTCCAGCAAGATTAAAAGTAAAAGAATAAAATCCCTGCCAGTCATCCCTATAGAAGTAAGGATACAACTTTCRGAAGAGCAACATGAAGAAAAAGAGATTAACATATTTTTTTCCCCTGTTTATATGTTTGATGAATAGTTTTGTGATTTCTGACAGCTGGTGGCAATTACAGCTTCCTTCTAATTGTAGGTTGGTTGTACAAGCTGCTGACAAAGGAAATCTCAGATTTTCTTCTACGAGTGTTGTGAGGATACAAGTGGTGGATGTCAATGACAACATTCCGATTGTTCAACCTCTCGACAAAGTGGAAATTCCCGAAAGTAAGTATAATTGTGCAGTTAAGTGTTACAGGACTAGATTTGTCAGACCGCAGTACTGCTTTGGCGAACTCATGGAATCAAGAGGTTATAGCACAAAGCATAATTGATTGTATTAGTTTTGAAATRCAGAAGAAAATCATGATCTGTTTTTGTTCTCAAAGGCGTTCCTAATCTTTAGACATGTATACATGTTCTGAACAGGATCAGTTCAGAAAAAAAACATAAACTGTTCAGAAAGAAAAGAGTGAACTCCACAGAAATACATCTGTAATCTCTTCAGCTCTAGGTTCTCCAGAGAACAGATTTTTTAGCTTTTTGTTAATTTAGTAGTGGCAAGAGATTGAATGGGAACAACAGATGCAGAACAGCTCTGATATTAATGACTGSTTCCTTAGGTTTCAGCCTAAGTACATTTGCTTTAGGACATGGCTGTATAGCACAATGTGTTTCAGGCTTCAAACCTCCAACATCCCAGTGAAAATTGGTTTTGTTTCTGCTAGCTCTAGCTGTTGTTATATGATCACTAATAAGTCAGGTTGAGATGTCTGGTTCTGCCAATTTGGCATGTTATAAAAGCTGTCTGTATCCAATTTCCCCATCTCAGTGGAGTACACTTGTTATCTTTAAGATTGTTGTGCCTGGCTGAATGAGTCATTTCTGGTGGCCTTTTCCTCATTTTGAGAGGCTTTAGAAATGCATTCAGAATTGGGATGAAACAGGTGTATATGAATAAATTCTCTACAGATTTCATAGCATGTCTAGCTCTTGATTTTATTCTAAATGAACCCAAAATACACCAAAAAGTAGTTAACACAAATTATGTATATCTAAAATTTAGCATTTACAAAATTGATAAAATCTTCAAATAACATTTTTCACTAAGACTTATTTTGAAAATTATCATTTCAGATGTCCTGCCAGGTTTTATGGTGACTCAGGTGTCAGCAACAGACCTGGACTCAAGGCCAGCACTTCAGTTTGGTTTTATTGAGGGTAATGGTCCTGGAACAAAGTTTGCTATTGATCAATATACTGGTGTAATCACCGTGGTGGAACCACTGGATTTTGAGGAGACTACTGTGTATAAGTTGGGAATCATAGTTTCGGATTCTGTACATCAAACAGAAGCAGAGGTCACTGTCCTGGTTTTGGATGTCAATGATAACCCACCGGTGTTTACACAGAATTCATATCAGGTAGGAGTGTGGCAAATGGGCTACAAATATACCTGACGTCTTTCTGTATATGGTGATAAATAGCAGGAAGGAGAGTTTACATGGATGCCTTAAAAATGTGTTCATCTCCAGTGAGATGGAAATTCTTTGTAGCATGTCAGCTTGTCGTATAACTGCAGGAGTCTTGTAGGAGGTGAGGGAAGATATGAACATTGATATATCCAACATCTCCTACCAGATTGAGAAGCTCACAAATTTCAGCTCTGGCATTTCTGGACAAAAGTTTTAACTGCCAGATTGTTGTAAAGGTCAAGTTGTGCAAAAATGTTTTTGCAACCATTTTTCAGTGACTAAAGACCACTAAAATGACTTACTGGGATTGGCACATGTGTCATGTGAGGCTCCTAGGAATAGAGGTAGGSTGCCAAAAGAGATTTACCCTGCGGGATTTTTCTAAGGCTCAGTACATGTAGGGACCTAGGGCCAGGATAGGTGTTGGAAGACAGACTAAGCCTAGACTTATGATTGAAGAGGGGCTGCAGAGGGAACAAGGGTGAGGTTTTTCAAAGAATTGTTCCCTCAGGACCTGTTCATGKGGGCCAGACTGTGGGGCTTGTGCCAAGGCTGATGCCCAAGAGAGCTTAGAGCATGGGTTGATTAGCCTGGAGAGGAAAAGGCCTGAAAGGACCATATGGGGGACAGTATGGGCTTTTTCTCTGCCCAGTGTAGGGACAARAGGTAGCAGAAAACCCAATAAATTCAAATTCAATTAGCAATGCTTTGATTATAAACCCCACACAGATTTAGTCAAGTCAAAACATTTTGCCTAGTAGGGAAGTTGCTACCTCTGAGCATGTGCAGGAGCAGGAGTGTAGTTAGATAGACACAGTTATATTATAGATAACTGTGGGACAGGCTGTGTGCACCTGTGAAAACTTCAGGTGCCAGAGTTGGCAGGAATTGTGTGAATCATCTGCATAGACTTTTAAGTGTAATTTCTATTAAAGTGCATTAAAAATGCACTTTAAATGCAAAAGTGTTGTGCATTGATGTATCAAGTGACTTGACTTGAATTTTTTCTCAGCCCTCACATATGTCTGATTTTGGAGAATAGTTTAGGCAAGCATTTGTTCATGCAAGTATTAAGAATTTTTTGTGTGGATTGAAGCAGACCTTGGAGGCAGGATTATTAACTGATGTAAATCAGCATAGCTCTGTTGACTATGCTAATGTAAACCAGCTGAGCTTTTGGCTCTGCAATCCTGACTTTTCACGTGTTGATTGGACAATAAGATACACAACTTGTTTTTCACTCAATGATATGTAACATTCCCTGTTCACAGCCCTGTATTTTTTACCTTGTTGGTATCCTTTCACTATTTATTAATATTTTTCCTTTATATGGATAAATTATATAATATATTAATACATTAATCTTTGTAATAAAATGGTATAAACTAACACTTGAAGTTATGACAAAGGTAGCTGCGGTGTCATCAACATTTGAAATTTAATTTATAAGGAGGGAGACAATTTTGGTCCCAGAAATACTTTATCTGGACTTCAAATAATGGAAGCTCTGAAGAAGGGAAAGGACATTCTTGATATACTAGATTACGTAAAGAAAAAAGGAAACATTCTGAAAAGCTAAATGCAACAGTACAACAATCCAATGAATATTAAGTACTCTGGTGCTGGGCTTTTCAGGGTATGTATCTATTTTTTAAGACTCACTAACGTACTCCAGAATGGATCTGCAAAGTGTATTCCATGTAAATCAATATTTTCTGGAAGCATGGAGTAATGCTAATACGCTGTTAAATATTCCTTCTATTATTAAATTATTAATGAGACGTTCAGAGATTCATTTAACTTGTTTTAATAAAGAAAATTGAAGTAGATGGTTTTTAATATTGTTTAAAGCTCACTCTAAATTTTAGCCCTATTGTACACATTTCTTTCAATATCTTAGATGTGCATAGGTTTCTCTTCTGAAGAAAATAGGTAAGTGAAACTTTTTCTAAACGTGGGAACTGTATTTTTTTTCCCTAATCAAATCAAAGAAAAAGTTTGTTCTGTTCAAAAACTTTTATCAAACTTTATTAAGACTGTAATTTTCYATCAAGCCTTATCAAAACTCTCATTGTGCTCTGTATTTTAGGTGAGCTTGCCAGAGCTCACTTCGGTGGATGCCTCTATTCTGGCAGTCTCTGCTGTGGATAGGGATTCGGAGCCTAATGGAATGATTTCCTACAAAATGCTTTCTTCCTCTGAGGGATTTTCTGTTGATCCCGAGAATGGTGAGTCTGTTAACATGGATTACTATTTCAGCTCACACAGTGCAAATTGAAGGTTTGTATTCTGCCTCCTAACCTATTGCCACTGATTACCTGAGTCTGGGAATCTTTGGACATAAACGCATCCTACATTATGGCTAAGTAGGCTGCTACACCTGAAGAACTGATAGCATCAGACCAAAGTTCTCACTTTATCTCTGAACTGTGTATAAAGCTAGTCACAACATCCTAGAGATGCTACTCCTCTGTCAATAAAAATGTTTCTATAAGTTTTGCTTTTTTTTTTTTTGTGAAATTTCAGCTCATGCATTAGATTTCATGAAATTTAAGTTCGTACTTATTATTTTTCAGTACAAGCTGAAGCTATCGTGATGGACCTTCTCTACAGCTTGGGCTGTGTGTTTTAAGATTTGGACTATCCAGTAATCCCAAGTGGAATTTAAAAGTTTTTTAAGTTGAGAATATGCCAAAGTACACGATTTTCTTTAAATCTATGAATTTCTTCACTATTAAATATCCTGGCCGATTGTTGTGGTATTCTGGGAGGTTGAAAGCTATGTGTGTCTGGGTGTGTGTGTGTGTATTATGTTTGTATACATATGATTTTTTTGGTTATGCCTTTCTCAGATATTGCAGAAATGTGCAGCTACTCAGTTTGAGCAAGTTCATGTCACTTATTTGCTGTTCCCAAGTACTAATGTGAGAGGAATTTTTGAATACAATATTTTTGGATGTTAGTAACTGCAAATATAGAATATACAGATGTTTCTTTCACCCAATTAAAAATGTTGGTTTTACCAGTTTGTGTTGACCAAGTTGTCTTTATCTTTTTTTGGTGACTGTTTTTACCTATTATCAGAAAATTGTCATACACCATTATCCCTGCAAGAATGTACACTACAACACTTAGGCAGAAGTGAATGATTCGAAACGTGTTTAGATAAGCAAGTTGGATGAAACCTATTTACCTGACTTACAGGCAAACCTGCTTAAGTAGCAAACGTGTCTATAATGATTTACTGGATAGCAAGACAGGAGAATAGCAGTGAGTAATGAACTTTCAGAGAATAGCAGCCTCCAGTAACGTGCCTTAGTTTTATTTTGCTTTTTATTTTCTGTAGTTATGTGTTTAATCTATTAAGAAGAGAGATTTTTGCTAGTCTAAATATAGCGTGTGTATTTGTGCAGTACATTATGGGTATTGTACTGTTGTGGGTAGGCCCTTGGCTTTACAGAATTAACTATGGTTTCAGAAAGTTACTTTTGTATATATGCAACCATTGTATTTTAATCATTTTCAAATATGACCAATTAGATTCAGCTCATGGAATCACATTTATTTGCCTTGGTGAGTGTGTGGTGTTTTTTTTTTTTTTTTTTTTAAATTAACTCTATTTTATTTTCAGGTTCAATATTCACTACTAAACCTGTAATACACCTGGGAAAGAATTCTACTTTTCGACTCCTTATAGAAGCTAAGGACAGTGGAAATCCTGCTTTAAGTGCAGTTACATCTGTAGAGATACAAATAGAAGATGTAAATGACCATGCCCCAAAGTTCACAAGGGCGGTATATAACCTCAGTGTGAGTGAGGATGCGTCAGTTGGAGAAAGAATCCTCACATTTTCAGCCATTGACTGTGACTGGACACATGAAAATACACATATTGAATACTCTATTATTGATGGCAATGCTGATAATCTATTCTCTGTGGAAACAAGTCTCATGGAGTTAGAATCTTCTTATAGACCTGTTGGCAATCTTGTTTTGAGCAATACCCTTGACAGGGAAACTGCTTCTTCCCACTATTTGGTCCTCCTTGCATCTGATCATGGAACACCTTCCTTAAATTCAACTGCTACTGTACTAATAACTGTACTGGATGTTAATGATAATCCACCTCTATTTAGCAGCCTGGAGTATCATATTCACGTCAAAGAAAGTCTTGCTATAGGTAGCCATATCACTGAAGTTTCAGCAAATGACTGTGATGTGGGGGCTAATGCAGAGATCACTTACACTATCAGCTCTGGAAATGACAAAGGTTATTTTCRCTTGGATGGGAAAACAGGATCAGTGGATTTGGTGAAAACTCTGGATTATGAAGATACTGTGAAGTTCACTTTGATTATCCAAGCCACAGATGGAGGAGCTGATGTTAAAAATGTGGCTTTTTCTGTTGTTCTTGTTAGTGTCCTAGATGACAATGATTATGCCCCACTATTTTTGTTTCCCAGCCTGAACTGCATTGTCRGTGAAAATCTGCCTACCTTTTCTTTTGTGTGCACTGTTAAGGCACTGGATTTTGATAAAGGCTCCTATGGACACATCACCTATTCCATCCAGTCTTCATGTCTGGCTCATCGCGATGCTCCTAGAGACCATGACATGTTTTTCATTGACCCTTTGACAGGAGATGTTCATACAAAGCAAATGTTTGACTATGAAAGTCAGAATAGGTACTGTCTCATAATCCAAGCAAAAGACAAAGGTGACTTATTGGCTACAATTACAGTTCAGATAAATATCGAGGGGAGAGATGAATTTGACCCAGTTTTTACTCAAGATCAGTATTTCTTTAATCTCCCTGAGAAAAATGAAGCAGGTCAGTTACTTGGCAAAGTGACAGCATCAGATAAGGATGGTGGGCTGGATGGAGTTGTTTGTTATTCCTTGCTGAAATCTTCTCCATTCTTTTCTGTAAATCAAACCAGTGGTAATATTTATTTGACTCAAACTGTTCAGAGAAAGAAAAATGGCAGCAAAAGGAAAGAAGACACCCTGGAGATGTTAGTAAAAGCTCATAGTCCAAAAATTGACTCGAAGTTCACTGTGTGCACTGTTTTGGTAAATGTTTCTAATGCTCCTGAAAATTATGCCATAGAGTCTGCATACAGCCTTATTGTTAGCATTTTGGTCTCCGTTGTAGTATTCCTATTGCTTGCCATCAGTGTTATTGCACTCATTCTCAGATATAAGCGAAAAGACACKACAAACTCTTGTGTGGGAAAAGAAGCAGCATCCTCATCAGCTGCTGATTTAAGTTTGGCTAGCGAAGATAAAGTCCCTAAGGACTGCCAGAAAATCCAGAGTACTGAGAGCAGTATGCTGCCCATGGGTACCATAGCAGAGTGGCTGAGCATAGTCGGACTCGGAGAGCGGGAGGATGTTGGTAGCCCCTGCAGGCATTCAGATGCTAGTGGCCGTGGTTCAGCTGCAGGAGAAACAGCAGAAGATGAGGAAATCAAAAGGATCAATGAACACCCTTGCAGAARGAGAAATGGCTCACCTTTAAGTGAGCGAGGCTCACAGATGCCGGATTCAGGAATTCCCAGAGAATCCGGTCAACTATCCTGTCAGTCTGGAGAAACTGATGTTGTGGCTACCAGTCAAAGCTTGGAGAGCATGCAGGCCCTTAAAGACGAAGGTGGAGAAGAAGTCTGCGACACGAACTATGCACTTAACAGAATGTTATCTCAAACACTTAAGAAAATTCAAACAAAAGAGAAAGACATAATGACARACTTCACAGAAGAATATGTCTTGACCTCAAATATGCAGGACTGCCAATGTGATTCAGCAGCTCTCGTCACCTGTGATGCASATCTCAGAGGGAATTGTAATTTGGATTATTTTTTCAGCTGGGAACCCAGATTTCAACCTCTTGCTTCAGTGTTCAGCGATATTGCAGAGCTGAAGGATGAAAATGTACACATTCATAGCTTCCTTGAAGAAAAGAAATCTAATTTCCCTCCTCCCTTGATAACATCAGTAGCTCAACCTGGCATAAGGACTGTGCCACCACGGATGCCAAATATAAGCTCAGGACAAGCATTTACAAAATATGCCCATTCTCCCCTGACTCATGATCCTGGATGCCCTCCACCAACCATGACTCCCAGTTTTTCTCCTTCTTTCTCTTTACTTACTGTGCCAACACCTGCCGCTTCTCCAGTAATGTCTGATGGGAGAAAAATAGAAACATGTCTCATTGGTCCAAGCCATGAACTTTCAACAGAGAAAGAAATGCATGTCTAGATATTAACTGTTGATAGTTTGGGGAAAAACATATGACTCAAAATGCATTTTGCTATTCTTTAACACGTAAAACAAGCCTGTCAGAGCTGTATCATTAATAGTCCTCTTTTGTGAGTTGAAAAGGTACCTAGGTAACATAGCCACAAACTTTCTAACTCCTTATCTTCTTTACAGAATGCACTGTAAGTCCATGAGTCCTGTCCTTTTTCAGCTCCCCACAACTGCAGTTTCCATTGTATCAAGCTAGATGCTTGATAACCAACTTGACAGATTTTACTGTTTTTTGTTCTGCTTGTTTGTTTTCATAAACTATGTCAATATCAGTTTAATGGGAATAACTCTTTGCTGTGGAAAAATCTTCATTTGCATGCTGATGGGTTCTGACTTTCTGTGTTTGTATTGAAAGAGTGTATTAGGGGGATGTGTAAATATGACAAGGTTGAGGATGGTCAAGAATAAAGGAGAGATATCTAGCTATAGCTGCACAGACTTCCCCCCGACTTCAACACCTCCATCCTATTGACCTGGTGGGCCTGATACAGTTGCACCGCCTGCAGTGGCTCTCCAGTGGGCTTTATTAGATATCTTCATGTTGTAGAAGCCAACTTGAAAGATTCTATGCATTTTTTTTCATCTTCAAATGTTATGCCTGAGAGTCATGGTGTTTGAATGATAACTGATCACTTACGGAATCCTTTGGAAAACAGAATAACCAATAGTAAGATAAAAGCAACCTTCCTTTTTATTATTACATCTATAATAGACACCCATTATATTTCTGTCATGTTATAGCAGCAGGTCTGGTCCCCAGACAGCTGCAGAGTATGACAGGGTTACAGTTCTGAAGGGTTTGTATGCCTCCATATCATTCTTTGGTCCTATGCTGGCCAGCTCTCTGCAAGACCAGATAATCTGGCCTTTTTTATTTTTCTTATATATATATATGTATACACACACATATATAGCATACACATTGCATTTTGTGTATGTATGTATATTGAGATACATACACATATTGCTGTATATGTGTATTGAATCAATAAAATACATGTAAAATTCCTCTACAATAAATCTGATTTCTCTTCAGTATATAGTTGAAATTTCTTGATGGTTCTTTTGCATCACATATATTAAAAGCGGGATGTAGGGAAGAGTCTAATGGGTGCCTGGGAATCGGTTACAGGTCAGACACATATAGAGGTATGCGTTGTACAGGTCATAGCAGGTAAAGAAACTGCACATAGTGCTGTTAGAGTGACTGACCTTGTGGGATTGATACCATGTGTGCGATGGCAGATCCTTATTGGGCACAGCCTGAGGACTCGTTACCTGTCCTTGGAGGATTCTGGTTTTAAGGCTGTGTCTGCACTGTACCAACATGCAGCAAAATCCATACTGCTGTGCAGGAGTGCTTCTTTTATCCTGGCACATACTCTTTATACTCCTATGTGGTCCAAAAAGCAGACATAGCTTAAGAGTTCATAGGGGTCAGCGAATGTTACTGAGGAAGGAGACAGGGAGATAAGTGTTATAATGAGCTAAAAACCTGTGTCAGGAAGAGAAAAGAGATGTGCTATTGCCAGTTCATATTAAAACATGGGTATCATTTTAAAGGCCCATGGCCCTTATTTACATGTGGATCACTAGATCAGCCACCTGAGGGCTGGGAGATAAACATCTTTGGATGTGTTTCTGGAGAAGGTAGAGTGTATTATTATGTTTTTTGTTGATACGGGCTGCATACATTGTTGTAAAAAAATTGAAGGCTGATTCATTAACTTTCAATAACTTGTTATGGTTCCCTCAATGCTATAATTATTTTTGCAACTGACTGGCCAATGTTAATTTTGGAAACACATACATAAAAAGGCATGGTAATGTGATATTTTCATATCAACATATATATTGGTATAGCTCAAATAATATAACAGTATTTTAAAATTTAATTTTGTATACATTTTTCTATTACAAAAGGCTAAAAGTTATCCACAGAATTTTTCATCTGTTAGATTTTGATATTTATAGATGATTTGATTTTGACTTTAGTGCTACATAAAATAATTTCTAACAGATTGAGAGATGGTCTTTTGTTGTGTTACAGCTTCAACAGCTACAGCTTCAGGGGGTGTTTATGGTGCAAGTGTGTGTTTATGATTACGTTTTTATGTATAGTCAACTTAGCTAATACAAGTTTAGTTTCAGGGAGTCACGGTAAAGTGAAAGCTATTGCTATGAAGAGGAAAAATAAACATATCCATGCTATTACAATAGGGTTCATCTTTGCAATAGATGATCAGTGGAAAAATACACAGCAAAGCTGTTTGGTCTTTTATATCGATTAATATGTAGCTGGGGCCTCATGTCTTGTAGAGTCTAGACTAATGGATGAATAGCTTTTTCTTCACTAATAGTGCTGTTGCAACTGGAATAGTATTAGCATTAGGAATCATCAAAGCATTCAGTGCAAGATAAGGCCCTCAATATGCTCCTGTGTTTTGTAAGTCTGGACATTTTTTGTTCTTCTGCCTGAAAAGTGAGCAAATCCTGTTCCAATTCGTATCTTCTTTTCTGCTTGAAATGTAGTTTGCTTTTGAGGCCTTTCTGAAAGGATTAAGTACAATTTACATCCTATTTATCAAGCACAGGAGATAACTACTACATGATACTTTTTCTTCTCTGAAGTCTTACAGTAATGTTTTCTTTATCTTTCTACGTATCTGCTCATTCTGTATCAGACAGGAAACACCACTGAGCTGACATTTTTCTGTTCATAGTTGAGCTTAAAAAAGTGACTAGTGAAAAAAGTGTCTGCAATGAATCATGTGTAGTTCTTTTAACCTTACCATTTTTTCCCCTAAGTAAACAGTATAATTTCTCTAATTTGCCGTGAGTTTAACATTAGCTTGCCTCGAAGAGGCTATGTTACTTTGCAATTCTGCACACCAGTTTTAGCACTTTGGAGAAGGTACAGAACTTGCTAGTGGAAAATCATATTAAGCTCAAAATGCATAAGCTATAAAATAAAAGACAGTTGTCTGTTCTGGAATTTTGGCTGCCTGCCTTCTGGATTTGCTTTTTGGCCGCCTTGAAAACACTGGTGTAAATCAGTACCAAATGGATATCAAAATTCCATCTACCAGTAGTAATCATTAAATTGACATTCAAGCAGATTACTATTCAAAAAGAAAAGAATTCATATTTTTAGGGAATTTTTCAATTGCTTAGAAATTAAAAAAAAAAATAAAAAGACTTCTATTTTAAAATGATTCTAAAACTAATTACCTGCATGCTTCCATGTTTGGCCAATGGTTTATCTTTAGTTGAAGACAGGAATTATTCATAAAATAATTTTAGATAAAAACAGCTGTAATAAAAATGAATCCATTTTTCTAAGTCTGTTTTACTGCTGCTTCCTAATATCATTTATATCTGATTGCCATCAAATCTTTGTTGTATGTCACTTGCTTTGACATGTAGCTTTCTGGAGAATTATGTTTCATCTTCTTCCTCGCTGCTAACACAAACATGTGCAAAACCTGTCTTGGAGAGAGCTATATGTCAAAGATGTGCTACCCTTACAAAAATATTATTATGGCTTTTACAGCTCGTTGAGCTAAGATCAGTTAAAAAGCTGACAGACATATGTAGGGGTGCAAGAAAGCAGGCTGCTGAGATAGTCTCCTCTTCCATAGCTTCTCATTCGTACTGACTACAGCTCTCCTTGAAAACTAGTCTGGAAGAATTTGGGAGAATCTTTACAGTGCCAATTTGCTAGTGTTCCCTAAGATCCTGTAAAAGTGCTAATTGGCATAGGAGGCGGTTGTGGCTCTCTGATTGAGTATGCTCTTGTGGGAGGATTATACCTAGATTTTGGTCTACTCTGCAAGGGAAATGGCTTTGCAGCTTCTTGCTCTTGTGTTGTTGGCACAACAAAAACAGATCGCTATGGCAAAATGTGGCTTAGTTCACTGCTGATGGTCTGGTTGGAAAAACTAAGATGTTGCAACATCAAATTGTGTAAACCTTTTGTGTGATATTTTGAAAAAGCTGAAACAGATAAAGATGTGTAGACAAAGGAAGGGGGCTTTCTGGAAAGGAAAACTGAGAAGATAACACCTGGTTTAAACTCACACTTGCTGATAGGGCTATTCCTCATAAAATCTCAAATGTTTTTCTTCCAAAATGAATAAAACATAATAGAAGAGCATCTGTAAAGAATACAGATGTGCATCAGAGTAAGCTGGAGTTATGAAATGTTTTTATTTCTTAACACTTGCGGTGTACTTGAGCAACGTTGAAAATACCAAAGCCTTTAAATGTAGTAGTTGCAAGAAATTTTAAGAAAAATCAAAGCTTCTGTTACTATTATAAGTGTTTGACTGACCGAAACAAGTCTTGTACCTGATGAAGCATTAGATGGCAAGCCATATGCCTGAAAATGCAGATGTCATGTTAAAGGACTGAAATGTCTCTGTGGTATTCAAATATTCTGTTGAAAAACTCATCATAATTAGAAAACTCTGATTTCTAGAATATTAAATTCAAAATGGAAGTTTGCAGCACTGTATGTTTAAAGCTGGCAGCCTTGTCCTTGTCACCTTAACCATGTGAAAAGAATCTTATGCTTAACACATGTTTGGAACCTAGAATTTTTAATATCATTGCAGGCAGTTGAGCTCTAACTACATGTAAACTGCAGTGCAGAAAGTGTCAGGAATTTTAGAAAATGGAAAGTGAGCTGCAAATTATGAGGGATCACAGAATATCACAGAATATTTAAGGTTGGAAGGGACCTCTACAGATCATCTAGTCCAACCTTCCTGCTCAAGCAGGCACACCTACAGCATGTGGCACAGGGTGGCATCCAGGTGGATTTGGAAGACCTCCAGAGTAGGAGACTCCACAACCTCCCTGGGCAGCCTGTTCCACTGCTCTGTCACCCTAACAGTAAAGAAGTTGCTCCTCACCTGGAGAYGGATCATCAAATAACTGCAGTTGTTATACCAAGAACTGCACTTAAGAATCGACTGGAGTGAAATTATGTCCACTCACTGGTGACCATCTGAGTTAAACTGCAGTTGTTTSTTTATATATCCACACATTTGGTTGAAAAGTTTCAAATCTGGAGTTTAAAAGAGTTTCTAAAATGTTGTCACCGGTGGCATATCCAAAAGAAGTTAGTAACAAGTCAGGGCAGCTTGCATTGAACCCAGAAACACTTGTTTCAAGCCCAAAGCAGCYGGATGTAGACTGATTTCCAGCATCTTCCATTTAGCAAACTTTCAGGTTCATTTAATTTCAAAAAGTTTGAAAATACTAGATTCAGATCCAACACCACTAGAGTTCCACTGATTTCAGGGGAACTTGAATAAAAAATGCACCTGGAAGCAATGGGCAACATGTGTGCCTTACTGGTCCTGTAACCAGAGTCACTGGCAGTGGAGAGCGGGCTCCCAGAGGTGCAGGGGCTGTAAACCAGCAGGAAGGAGCATTTAAAAAAAAAATAAAAAATAAAGGAAATCAAGAGCCTGGAAAAGAGAGGAGAACCAGCATGGGGCAAAGAAGAGAACTGGAGGAGAAGTTCCTTTATGTTTCATAGTGATTGATGTAAGCCTTGCTTTATATGCTTATTTTGGAGAGTCTTTTAGAGGAGTCTGAAAAGTTCTTCAAGAGAAAGATCATTTACCTTTTTTCTTTCTTTTTTTTTTTTTTTTTTTGAGGCAAGAGATTTGTTGTTGTTATGTTTTTTAGATTTTTTTTTTTTTAAGCTACACACCACAGCTTTTGCACTCTGCTGAGTTTTGGCCTCTGTCTCACTATAGTGGAGCATCTTGTGCCAACGACTGACCACATTCACTGGATGGAGATTGATTAGAAGTTTCAGCAATCTGTTCAATTCACTGGCAGCAGATTTGCACAACTTTTCTAGGGGCCCTACATGCAACTCTGTTGCTGGAAACCA